CTATTTTTCATTTAATATTTTAAAATCACTGCAAAAAATCCATTCAAACGTATAAATTATAGTATATATTATCTACTGACTGGTGAAAGGATTAAGAACCGTGCTATTGTTATGTAAATTAACTAAGTCACAAAATCCTTATGGAACAATATACTTCCGTGTCAACGAGCGGTGATTTCCTAGTGCTGTGATGTGTTGATGCAGTTACACAAGAAAGGTCTTATGAATTTACATTTTACGATTGTAAAATCTAAGAGGAGAACCGAAGGCAGCTCAAGCATTTCCTTTTTGACTTCACAGTTGCTATATGGTCTATGATAACATCCTCCGAAGCCGAAAAAGAAAATATATTTATTTAGGTGAACGAACTTACGGCCCATTTGGTCTTAAGTTCCACATTTCCCGTAAACCATAGATATCGCTATCAAAATACCGTTGTGCACCTTGAAACCAATTCTCAATCATAAAGTAAAAGAAGGAATTTTACCAAGGGGTCTGAGGCTAAAGGTTTGAGAAACTCTGGTTACATACGAGTTAATTGATTAAATAAAAAGGCACTACCCCAAAACAGGCTGGCTTTCTGCATAATCAGATTAGAAAGACAAAAGTACATCGAATGCATATGCGTTAGACCACGGAAGCTTTAAACAAAGTTTTTAATGTAGGTGTGCTATATTAAAAAAACCAATTGTATTCTAAAAATAACATTGGATCATTTATAAAATATCTTAGTTTTTGGAATTCAGTTAAGAATGTAGACTAGGCAGGTAACAATTAACCTATACTTGAGAACAATAGATTGTTGCCTATAGCGTTAGGAAAATATTGAAATTCTATTGTGCAGCGTGCACCTTATTACCTATCAAAATTATGAGAACTGAAATTACACAAGCCTATGAAAACACTATAGAGGACGGAAAGATAAAACGGACACTATTTTTGTATCATAAGCAGTGTCCCTCAGCCATAATTTGTACTCATGGGCGGCGTTAACAATTTAAGATCAAATGATGTGCTCTTCTATCCTTGAAATTCTAAATAGTATGTTTTTTTATTGCTTAGATGGGTGGACGAGCTCACAGCCCACCTGGTGTTAAGTGGTTACTGGAGCCCATAGACATCTACAACGTAAATGCGCCACCCACCTTGAGATTTAAGCTCTAAGGTCTCAAGTATAGTTACAACGGCTGCCCCACCCTTCAAACCGAAACGCATTACTGCTTCACGGCAGAAATAGGCGGGGTGGTGGTCTCACAAGAGGTCCTACCACCAGTAATTACGCAAATTATAATTTTGCGGATTTGATTTTTATTACACGGTATTCCTTCACCGTGGAAGTCAATCGTGAACATTTGTTAAGTACGTATTTCATTAGAAAAATTGGTACCCGCCTGCGAGATTCGAACACCGTTGCATCGCTAGATACGAACGCACCGGACGTTTTATCCTTTAGGCCACGACGACTCGACAAGAGATTCGAATGTTTATTTTTCTGTTTAAATCACAAGTTTGAAATTACCGGTACAGGTTGTAAGAAATATTGAAATGCGGCATGGGTGAGTGCCGTCATTCTGTCAACTTCTGATGCAAAACAATCTTGGGTTCTGGATCCCGAGGCTACATAAGCTACGTTGTACGAATGCAAGGGAAACTTGACCCTGGCCTCGCCTGGTTAATATCTACGAGTTCCTACGACAGCAAGTATGTATGCAGCAGTTCTTGAAGCGGAAAAAATATACTTAATAAGAGCGTAATAAATGAAAATAGCATATTTAAACGCAAATAAATGATTTCGAACTTTGTTCAAATAAAAAGAACCAGGTACCTACATTATTTTTCTTGGAAAGTTCGCCAGCCCTAACTCAGAAAAAAAAAACAAATTCCAAAAATACGTATCTTGTACTTTAATTAATAATTTAAGCACAAATCAATATCACCAATCGGGTCAATTATCAGCTCTAAAATTATTTTAGTAACAACCACAGTATCATAAATCCATGCGCCTTTTTATTGTGTTTATGGACGTATCCTTTTCATTCAGAAAAACGATAAAGTTAAAATATTATAATAATACTTTAATGCGTCAAATTCTAATTTGCCAACCTGAGTTTTGAACCAATGTTCGCGTCAATCAATTTTAAAGTATTTTTTTCAACCCACTGAGTTTCTCGCCGGATCTTCTCAGTAGATCGCTTTTCCGATCAACCGGTAAATTCAGCGAAGCACTGCTCTTGGCCAGTGTTAGCAATTTTTTCAAGTTGAGCCCATGAGCTCACATACCAGTACTTGAGTAGCTGGAATAGGCTGTAGGTTAATAACGATTAGGCAGGGAACAAGAAAACGAATTTAAAACAAAACGTCTTATTAGCATAGCATTTAATATTAACGTAACGCATGCGTAATTGAGTTTGCAAATAACTTCATCGGAACAATTAAAACGATGCACTTGCTCTATGTAACAACTTCCTCCGCTTGTCAGCTTGTTAGGCATTAACTCATTGTTTGTGCGTATTTGTAAATTTACAACTGACAATCTAGCATACAATGGACTATTGTTTAGCAAAATACCAATAGTTTCAAATATTACATAATTATTGTTTTTATTTTTATTTAATCGTTCATCAACAATAATATTATTTCATAAGTATAATATCTCTTCTTTTCTCTAAATATAATTCTCTATAATATATCTTTATTATCTTTAATAAAAACCTTTTTATTTGCTATATGTAAAAACTTCTTTAGAACTACTGAGCCAATTCTAAAATGAATTCACTAAAAGTAATTTAAGCTGAACCAGAATACGATAGGAAGCAAATTTAAAGTGTAACATTCCGTTTACATATAAAAGAACCCCTTCGATGCGATGCAGCTACTTATCAGAAATGTAGTTACATTATAAATGTAATACAAAATGAAAATAAAATATCCAATACTAATGTTGGTTGTCCCAAGTCCCAATATTGGTTAGTTTGTTCGTGCTTCTCTCACCCAACTTCGAGCTAACGGATTGAGATCATTTTTTGCCGAGATAGTTATAGATCAGAAAGTGACAGTTACACGCGTTTCCGTCATGTTTCCGTATGTAATAAATACAATGACAAACAAATTAACAAAATTGTACGCGTCATTTAACGGGAGCAAATATTTTTTACATTTCTGAATGAAATTCTGGAAAACTATGCCTAAATTTACTACGAGTACAAAAGATTAGTTTTTTTAACACTACACTTGGCCTGACTTGGTAATTGTATTCTTTTTTTGACACAAATGACAAAGTACTGGCATAGACCTTAAACCATCAGACAGAACCTTATATAATAAGTATGGTTTACTGGTGGTAGGACCTCTTGTGAGTCCGCGCGGGTAGGTACCACCGTCCTGCCTATTTCTGCCGTGAAGCAGTAATGCGTTTCAGTTTGAAGGGTGGGGCAGCCGCTGCAACTATACTTGAGACCTTAGAACTTTTATCTCAAGGTGGGTGGCACATTTACGTCGTAGATGTCTATGGGCTCCAGTAACCACTTAACACCAGTTGGGCTGTGTGTAATTTATAACGGCTGTCCTACGCTTCAAATTGGAACACACACTTTTTCGGGAAGCAAAAATCGGCAGAAATACTCATCAAGACAAGGTACCAAGCAACCATGGCATGCCTTTAATAAGTCTTAAAGCGCTTATGCAAATTAAAAAAAATTGCGGTTTTGATTTTAATTACTCAATATTTTCGACGTGGTTATCGTTCACGAGCACCTGTTAAGTACGCATTGCCTTAGAAAAATTAGTGCCTGTCTACAGGATTTCAACACCTGCATACCCGTATCGCTTGAGACGAGTACACCGGACGTCTAACCTGTTCAGGCCACTGATGAGTCAACATAGTGCAAATAATGCAAACATGAGAAAGTGTTTATTGCTTTAGCCTTTTTTGAATAACATTTTAAAAGATCGAAAATTTTGAGTGAAAATTCGTCTTGCTTGGATTTTGATCGCATAACAAAAATATTTTTAAGTTTTATCTTTTATTTGCCTACCTATTACAATTAGCCTCGAGGGCCTAATTTGGCTTCACCGGATGTATAGGCGAGCTCACGGGGTCAGTCTGAGATACTTTACTAACATCTGCCCTAGCTAGTGCAGTGATTCGCTGAATATACCAATTTCGGAATCGCGACCCACTGAGAAGATCCGGCCAGAAACTCAGTGGATTGTGTCTGTGGGCTAATTTGCACGTCGAACCCTACGACGAGCTCGTCTAAAACAATGACCAGTGCTTGAAATGCCTAAAAAAATCAAAAATGGATCGGGAGGATCAGAAATGTTGTGTATTTTTTTAATAATTAATAAATCAACGGAAATTGTTCGATTGCTCATTTATTATAACTAGTAACACATGATTTCTAAATTAAAGTAGGTTTCTTACAACAAAGAATTCATTACTAAATTTGCATAATTTTATATTATAATATGACAAATTTTAACAGCAACCTTTCTCGCTTGTATTATGTCTAGCTATGTTAGCCTACTATATTTAACTCAAAGTATTTCATTAATCGTAAATATTACTATTATTTATTTTTCACAATAATTTATTACTATAGTTAGAGATTACCAATTAATTGTTTCCAGTTAGAATAGGGTTTCAAATCGTATACATCAATTAATATTTTCGAACTGCATATTTTATCAAACTGTACATGATTCCGTAGATTTACGTTGCATTTAAATTTTCGTCAAGATAATACACAGCTTTTGAAACAAGTGGATATTGTATTATAATTTTAAAATTTATTAAATTAATCTCTTCTTACATGAGTTAAAACACATTTCGCTTTCAAACTATTTTAATTATTCACATAAAGATAAATAAACAGTATATTAAGATAATTATCATCATAATGATATACGTACTTAGTATTAAACTGTTTTCGTAATAAGATTAAATGCGTTAGAAAAAAAAAACGAAAACAAAAAAAAACTGTAAAGCAATGTTTTAATACCTGTAAGAGAAGTCCACGACGTACCGGCTTAGTATATTGGGGAGCACGTGTTAAAGCGTAAGTGAAGCAAGGAGGCACGAGCCGTGTTACGATACGGCGTCAGTAATATACACTGGAGTACCAGTATTTACGTCCGAATACTGTTAACTCGCCCCTCTACACTACGAGCTCAGCCTAACACCTTAAAAGTAAAAGTGGTCGATCCCGAAGGCGTGGCGAGCATAACCGTGACTCTGTATTACCTACATTTTGCGACCAGTCGATATTTATTTTATAATCAAGGTGCGTGAGTGCCAGTCATGATATTAACACCAACAATTTGAGCAGGAAATGTCAAGGTTCTGTCTTTTTTACATATTGTCCTTGCGTGAAAAAAATAATTGAAATTCATTTATTTTACTAAGAGCTGAAATATTTGAGGCAGAAACAGATCGCGTTAGAAAATTTCAAATTACAAATCACTTATATGAAATCTATAAAGAAGAGATAATAGAAGTTAATAATGCTCAGCTAATTTTCACCAAAACAAAAGTGGTACGGCGTTTCCACCTTTTAATTGGCTATAAATAAAATTTACAACTACTTACTCATCTCGATTTATATTTCTCATTAGCTCAAAGCCTTGGATGAAGTCGCAAAGTAACTATTTCGTGAGTTGCAGTACTTAGTTGTTTCATCAAAAGAAAATCGAATATCACCGACTCACACAATCACAACTATCTATGATATGAGCACTATGAGTGATTACGATTTTTCTACGCGAAACAGCATGACTAAAAGGTTTAACACAAATCATAAATGTATGTTTGAATTTTCTTTCTTCTTTTTCGTCGCTTTCTTCATTGCTGAAGGTCGTATCCCTGAAACATGACCGTTGCCTGTCTCGTGAGCTGTTTCCATCTCGTCCGGTCTTCAGCTGCTCAAATGGCGGTTGCGACTGGCAACCCAGTTAGAGCGGTTACTTGATCACACCAACGGCTAGGTAATCGGCCCCGGGGTCTCTTTCTTTATCTTTTCTTCCTTGTTTGAATACTTGATTCTAAATTAAACGTAATCCGTCACAGTTCAAATAATATTGAACCATAAAATATTATAATTCTGCATAGATTTTGAAAAATAATAACGTTGTTATAAAATTTAGCGCAATCATACTTAAGCACTGCAACATCGATAAACCCGTTCCCAGGCTGATACAATAGCCGCTTTTTGTCCTCGATCAATTCACTGACACAGTATAGGTACCTGTGAGAGCAGCAGGAAACATTAGCCCAACCCTGCAACTCGGAAGAATTGTATCTTTTTCATTGAATTGTAACTAGAGCGTGACCGAATTAGGTAAAACTAGTATCACATTCGTAATTTAATATTTCACGAATATGATATCCAATTAAGTAAGAAAAGTATTATCATTGGATTATTTACTGAAGTTAGACCCCGGAAACGCAGGAGCAGCATGAAACTGCGATACAAGATTACCAAGAGAATACTGGTAGGCTGTTGTTGATGGCTGTGATGAATATTCACATTCGATATTGGTGTAATAAAAATCAAACCCGCAAAATTATAATTTGCGTAATTACTGGTGGTAGGACCTCTTGTGAGTCCGCACGGGTAGGTACCACCACCCTGCCTATTTCTGCCGTGAAGCAGTAATGCGTTTCGGTTTGAAGGGTGGGGTAGCCGTTGTTACTATACTGAGACCTTACGCGCATTTACGTCATGGATGTCTATGGGCTCCAGTAACCACTTGAGAGCTCGTCTACCCAAGCAATAAAAAAAAACAAAAAAAACATTCTTCGATATTCGTAATGCAGTATGACGGTAGAAGTTACACATTTTTAGGTCTACGAAACAATCAGCACACAAAAGCAGTTTTACGTACTTATTACTACAAACAAAAATCTACCTAAAATTTGCATCGAAAATGTAAATCAATAATGTCTTAAAACAGATAGAAATCGATTTCCAATCTTGTAAATAGATGTTGCATAAACAGAAATAATAAAAATACAGAAAAATACGTGTTATTCAATGCCCCCGCCCTCCTTGAGACGAGAGACCGAAATCTCAATTTCATTGTATACCGATAGCCCAGCCTTTCAAATCGGAATATACGACAGGCAATAAGCAGAATGGTAGTACCAACCCATATTGGCTCACAATACGCCCTTTTTTACGTTTATAAACCTTTAACGGTACTTACTACGATACTGACATTTAATGAGGTCCCGATATTTCGATGTTCTTGCAAGCGCTGTGACAACGGATAGACTGAAGATTGCGTGAAAAACATCACAAAAAGGACCATGCCTAAATATCGGGAACCCATGAACTGTGAAAGTCGATGTAAGAACCTATTAAATAATAGTGTCTAAAATTTAGACAGCCACGAGTGGTCAACATTTTTTAAATTCATTATTTTAATTAAGTTAAGTCCATATGGCCAATTTATGACACTGTCATTTTTTCGTTATACAACTTAAATAAAAATTCGGTTGATGTTATATTACCTATCAGTCTTCATAAAAGCTATTATGTGTTAGCAAGGAACGAAGATTGATTCATTGGCGCGGGTTTTTTTTGACTGAAGGATTACTGGTGGCCCGGAGGCCTTTCCAGTTTCACCAGGACAGGTGGGCGAACAAAGGCTCAGCCAGAAGGTGTGGGATTTGCTAACAGCTGCCCGAGCGCCTCCGAAGGAGACCTAACTGGACAGCTCAAGAGCAGCTTCTTCGCGAATGAATCTACTACCGGATCGGAATCGCGACCCGCTGAGAAGATCCGGCGAGAAACTCAGCGAGCTGATGCATGGGTTAGGTTACACGTCGACCTCTTTGTCGAGCTCGACGAGTACGGTTACCGGGGTCCCTAAGCCTGCTCCTAGTGTTAGAGCTGAAGGCGTCTAATGCAAAGGTTATTGGATCTGATAGATCCGAGGCACGGGTGTGACCTCACCAACAAGTACAAAACGAATCTGAATCTGTGCAATTGTTCAAATGTGAACATAACGATTAGTAATTTAGTATCGTTAAAATGATTTCAACATTACATATTGCACAAACAATTCTAATTATTATAATTTGACAAGGAACCCAGACAATGGTTTTGGTAATTAATTATTATTAATGCAATTAACAAATCGGAATACGTTCTCCCCTTCATTCTAAATTAACATGACATACTTAAATTCATAGCTCGTAAATTATATCCACGTCATATAAAAAAGCAGAATTAGCAGAGCAGGTTATGATCGTAAAAACTAAAACTGAACTATAAAAATGAATAGAATTACTGACATAACATTGATATTACAATGTAGTAGTGGTTTTTTTTAAGTTGATCTGCAGAGCATAGATGATGTATTCCTGATATAGGGCAAGGACCCAGCGGGAACGTGGACCTTGGAGAGTAGGGTGACCTTCCATTTCGATTCTTAGAACCATGAATATCGGTATCGTTATTCTGTATTGGAGCTGTGGTATGCTATGTAAAAAGTTGAAGCCACTAAACCTCAGCGTGACTCGTCCTCTCATACGACAACGGTTGATCCGCGTACCGAAGTAGAGCTTCCGAGGGAAATGAGAGCGAGTAGCCCTGCAACGAGCCGAATTGTTGTTTGTCGACACGCTGCGCTATGATCGCCTATGAGCAGTCTCGGACAATGAGCTGTACAAAGTCACATGAATCCCATAATACCTCGCTCGGTTTGAGTCACTGAATCACAGCCTTGTCTTTTTTATTGCATAGATGGGTGGACGAGCTCACAGCTCTCCTAGTGTTAAGTGGTTACTGGAGCCCATAGACATCTACAACGTGAGATGTGAGTTCTAAGGTTTCAGTATAGTTACAAAGACTGCCCCACGCTTCGAACCACGTTCGAACGAACGCATTACTGCTTCACGGCAGAAATAGGCAGGGTAGTGGTGCCTACCCGTGCGGACTCACAAGACGTCCTACCACCAGTAATTACGCAAATTATATTATAATTTTGCGGGTTTGATTTTTATTACACGATGTTATTCGTTCACCGTGGAAATCAATCGTGAACATTTGTCAAGTACGTATTTCATTAGAAAAATTGGTACCAGCCTGAGATTCGAACACCGGTGCATCGCTCAACACGAATGCACCGGACGTCTTATTCTTTGGACCACCACGACTACAAAATGTCTCCCTATAGCTGTTAAATAATAATAAAAACGTCAGAAACTCCTTCTTCATAGACCCAAACCTATCTTGACTTGAACCTTAGCAAATTTAAAATTTTTCTTCAGCCTGCATAATAGATACCTATTTTGAGAGTTAAGAAAAATACGAAAAAATCTAAATTCACTCATTAAAATATTTTTAGAGGACTTTCATTTTTACCTAATTTTTTTTCCTTTTTCGAAAGCTTGCTCAGTAGATATGCGATGCAGTAGTGGCACTTGAATCAAATGTATACGAGTATAATACAATGTCTGTTTTGCGCAATAAATGGCGAAGACCGTTATATACCATTTTGTTCGTTGTTCATCAACCGATTTACTTTGTATGTTTGTACTATGTTTTGCAATTAAGGACAGGATTTATTTAATTGAGTTAAATTTAGTTGTGCAGAAGACCCTTAGCTATTGTCAATACAAAAAGGCAAGCTTTTTTTCGAAATATCAATAACAACACAAAAATAAAGTCAGATTTTTCTGAAATTCAAATAGTATTTTTGAGTTAGAGGAAATTAAAACAACCAATTTACTTTAAGCTGATTTAATCTATAATAAAATAGATTAGGTAATGATCGGCTTTCGTATTTCTCATTGGATAACCACTTCTAAATTCTGGTGGAAATTAATTTTCGCCTATCACTAAAAAATGATCGATTCGCATATTTTAAAATACTACCCCAATTTTCTATTTCAGTTAGCTTTCCTAATGCACAACTGTTATTCTCTTTGTTCCAATTTGTAATTTGAAATTTGAAAATTACAATTTGAAAATTATGATTTCGTAGTAATATCAATTTATGTTGAATCATAACATTTTTCTGCTGTCAATAATTTATAGCCTCCCATATTTTAGTCATACAAAGAGATTGTATTTGCAAGCCATTACACGTTAGTCTAACCAGTGCCTAATCGAGATCGCGATAACTGCAATTATGCAGTTAAAATTAGACAAGTTGTAATTGTTATGAAACACATAGTATATAAGACACATGCTATTTCAAAATATAGTTTGTTCTATTAGGTATATGGCTGTATTCAAAATTAAATCAACTTTCAAATCATCGTCACGGCTAAATTTATTGCGTTATTTTTTAACTGGTCAATTTTAAGACTCATTTACATCATTAAATATTATGAACTAGGTTCTGTTATGTTTTTATCTATCGAAGAGATAACGCGCTCACAAAGCCTTTCATAAATGAACATATCTGAATATGACCAGTTTAACGAAACCAATTCCCGGTGAAAAATCATTTGTGGGTATTTAAAACGCAGGTAATTAAACCACAACCCAGAAAAGTCTATTGAAATTAAGTTTTAATTAAGTGTACATCTCACGAAAACCAAAGAAAATTCTGATTTATTTTTTCTTTTGAAACGCATTTTTAGTCAGCAATTTTCTCTCTTCGAATAAAAAGGCAGAAAATTATAGGTGACATACTTGTTTAGTTTATTTTTTATGATTGCAGCCTCTGCTAAAAGGGTTCGAAATGAAATGAAATTATTTTATGGTAAAGAATGAACGTAATTTCGGGTTATCGAACTCTTTAAAAAAAATCTTTTTCCAGTTTTTTCTCAGCCACTTCGTGTATACGAAGCTTAACGATTTTGTCGTCATATGACGCGGTCTTTGCCATCTTGATCGTCCGGTTAGCGCGGCCCCGCTCTGAGAAATTTCCTCTGTGAATGTTAAAGTTTTCAAAGATTTTTATTGCGACGATCCTATCAGTTCCTTTCTAAAACCGCACCACAGACGGCCGCAGAAAAGATCATCGCTATTTAGTTGAATCTGCATCGTTCATCCACAAACTTAATCCCATTTTTAGCTCGGCGCCTATTCTACTATACGTCCTAATGGTTCAAACCAGTTCATAGCATAGGTTGTGAATTGATATCTTTAGTATTGCAAATGTAGGTATATGAGCTAACGTAACTTTTTACGGTGATGTGAATCGTTTGCTAGTCTACCTTCAACTGCAACATTAAAAAGCTGCCATATGATAGTAAGGGTAGGCAGTGGCTTGACTCGGCCCCTAGCATTGCTGAAGTCCATGGGCGACAGTAACAACTCACCATCAGGTGGGTCATATGCTTGTCGGCCAACAGGGGCAATAAAAAAAATTACCCATACATCGTCGCCTTTTTACTTTTCCCAGTATAATACTACTACTAGTACTAATACAGTATTATACTTAGATTTAAATAAATACTTAATTCACGTACTTCTACTAGGTATAGTTTAAAACTTATCAGTTTAGATTCGAAAACAAAATTGCGAAATCAGATCTTATATGAGGTTCGGTGTCAACTTCTCGACACAAAAGCAACTTTCGTCTAGTCTTTTTAAGGTTGTTTTCCTTCAACCGGTATGTTAAACGATTCACATTATAGTTACTATAAACGAATTGACAATTTTTTTTTTTAATTCATAACTCTATTTCATCATTTTGGTCAAACGAAGAGTCCGTGGTCTATCGAGTATCCCGATCTATTCTTACGCGACCATGCCGGCGCAGCGGTACAATTCAATGGTACCAGCTTTTCTTAATAATTCCATGCCGAAATTACATCTGTTCAAGAACGACTTCATCAACAATAAAACTAATTATTGAAAACACGAATAAATCAACGTTTTCTGAAAATAAATCGTAGCTAGATCGATTTATCGCCCCGGAAATCCCCTGTATACAAAATTTTATGAAAATCGTTGGAGTCGTTTCCGGGATTCAGATTATATACATTTATATATTAATAAACAAGAATTGCTCGTTTAAAGGTATAAGATTAAATTGCGTGATTCTAAATTAACCCCGCAATTTAAACAAAATAGACAGCGTCGCGGGTACTGACGCCACACACCACTCTTTCAATCACGAAGCATCCGTGCCATCTTGTTTAAAATTCGAGATAAGTATTAAACAATACAATTTGACACTTCGATCTAACACCTCAGAGGGTAGCAGCATTTGGGTTGTGATATCTCCTGCAACCGCTTAAGACGAAATGGGCCGTGAGCTCGTCGGCCCACTAAAGCAATATGAAAATAAATCCTTGTAGATAACATTACCTATGCTTATTTTGTGGTCAACCTGAAAAGACCGTAGTAATGCCTCGATAGGTGCTGCCTATTAAACCGTTTGGTATCTAATACACCTGGCATATTATCCAAATCACAATCATTATTAAAAATGTCCACGAAATAATTAAGAAAGTTCTTTTCCAGAAATTGCAGTGCAACTTTTGTTACTAGGAGGGTTGAAAGTAACAAAAAAAATATATACAGGTACTTTGATAAGTATTATTAGTAAGATATTTTTTGATGATAGAAACAAAACAGCTTAATATGGTTCGTAACAAAATTTAGCCGTATAATTAATGGCCAGTCAATCTGCAACTAGTATTTAAATAAATTAATGGTTATTACGAAAAAAAAGGTTAATTGCACGATATTTTTCTAAGAGCTGCGTCATGACAATAGTAATTAAGATAGGTATAATTTACGGAGGGTAATTTAAGGTAGGTAACTGTGCATCTGTGCCCCCTCCATAGACGTCCACGGGCGATTGTGACAACTTTTCATCAAGTGGATAGCAAGCTTGTCTATCTATCCACGTACTGTAGGTGTTCGCACTGGTGACTCTACAATCAACCAACCTCCAAATACACGTCTGATTTCTTGTCCAAAACACGGTCACCTATTAACTTGTTTCACAATCAGACGAACCGTAACTTAGATTTATATATATGACGGCGACGGTGAACAATTGCAAAACAACTTCAATGTGGACATAACACTTATATTTTAAACATAACTTGGTGAAATTAAAATAAACATTTGAATTATAACAATGAACATTATATAAAAACAGGGAAATGCGAAGACCTAACACGTAGATTTACATATTTTTTTTGTTAAAATTTTCTGGTACGTGCTTTGATTATAACTTTTTATGCATATAAAGATTATAAAGCTTTTATTAGACCAGTTTGTTTTAGAGTAGAGTGTATTAGTATCCATATACAGTGGACCATATGGATGTAACTGCTGCCTTAATAGGTGTGGTAAATCAATTACTTACACCACTAAGTAGTAATCCAATTTTCTCTGATAATAAATTTAAAATTTTTGAGGTCATCCTTTTCCCCTAAAATAATTAAATATAAAGTAATTATAAAATTGAGAGCTTGCATATTAAAATTATTTATTTATTTTCGAGGCCAGCCGCAGTTGAACCTAAAATAAAGTTCGCAAATTAAACTATGTATACATTATTTTAAATTATCATTCGAATTGTGATTCAAACAGGTACATAGTGAATCGAATATTTTTAAATCTGTAAATTAAAGTAAGTACTCATCATTCAGTGAATCGCCAATTTTAGTTTTACAATAAATTTTTATAAATAATGTGTTTCGAATTAGTGAAAACAGTTTTTAAGCCATCAAACCTCTCCGACCACTTTAGTAGCACTCCAGTGGCGCCATATATCAAAATGTTGATGAAAAAATGTTCATTAGTATTAGTGTTGACATCAGTTGATTGAGGCCACCTGTTACAATATTCATTTTCTATATGACTAAATGTTGTCTTTTATAAAAATATTTTTATACAAATCATATAAAATCACAATAAAGTGCATTACATTGTACATCTTTGTGTGCACTCACATCACATATACCACTGTATCCAAATTATATCCAAAACNTTGATGAAAAAATGTTCATTAGTATTAGTGTTGACATCAGTTGATTGAGGCCACCTGTTACAATATTCATTTTCTATATGACTAAATGTTGTCTTTTATAAAAATATTTTTATACAAATCATATAAAATCACAATAAAGTGCATTACATTGTACATCTTTGTGTGCACTCACATCACATATACCACTGTATCCAAATTATATCCAAAACCGAATATCATTATTTCTTTGTAAATCAAATACCCAATACAAATTTTATTTATATATAAATATAGCTGTTGAACTTATCACTAAAAAGTACATAATGTATTATACACTTAATATATTCATTACATCGAACACAATATGAATAAATATACTATAATACACTATTCAAAACATCATGTCGTCCAGTATACAGGCTTTTTATTTATTTATAAAAGATTACACAATATTTATTTTTAAAATCACAACATCTCTACAGTGAAGGCACATTATGTTGTCTTAATGAAATGTCGTAACATCGTCTATAGTAGTCCATACTGATCTAAGCTTAGTTTAATATTCGTATTTCACTTCATTCGTTCGTATTTATTTTACTTCTATAACCGTTATTACAGAAAACATTTTATTTATATTACGTGCAATTTTATTCTAATATAAAATTGTATTTGGTAACAAGGAAATATTGGAACATCCACAGTCCACAACTGTTTTAATATATTAATTCGAAATTCTGATTAATTGAATTATATACTAAGGTAATATATAATATCCGAAAGAAAAAAAACCAGTTGCAACTTAGAAACTTACGTTAAATGATCAAACACTTTTAATGTAAAACTATGAGATTGATAAATACCTTCCTCATTTAATGAGTATTGTTCTTTGGTGAATGCGAACGTCAAATAAAATGAATGTTGGCATTTTATCGAAGACTTGGATTCATATTTAGAGGATATTGGAAATAATTAAAAGCCATAAATTATTATCTTGCTTACCACGCTACAGTATAAGCCTCTGCACTTGTTTGTACAACAAATAATAATATAGAAACATACGTTTACAAAAGTTTCGAAAACACTAAATATAAAGTAATAGCTGCTTGTATGATACGTTCAGATCTAAAATATGACGTATTTTAAACACATAATTAGCTCTTTCGTGAACAAAATAACTATACAATGATCGATATCTTTTTTTCATGTCGATATTCGAGTTTTCCATGCAGAAGTCTTTTCTCCTGAAAACACAACAATCATATTTTGTTGAAAACAACAGTATATTGACATCTTTTAATATTCATAATGATAATGATCGAAATGACTAACCTGGATGATGAGATTCTCCTTGGACCCGATCAGGGCGCCTGGGAACGATAAACTGCGATTCTTTAAACATCGACATCATCAACTCTTCAGTTGTGGGATGGTACTCCACTTCGTTTATGCTCGCGACTAGGGGGGAGCTCTCATAGTTCCTACTCGAGTCTTTAGTGCAGAATGGGGCAGAGTGGGGGGCGGAGTGGGGAGCGGAGAGGGGGGCGGAGTGGGGTGCAGAGAGCGTGACGGGAATGTCCACGGAGCGTGGGCGGCGGCCGTCCACTGGCGTCATCTTTGGATTCACGTGCACGTCCTTGTGAATATACAGCTCGATAGAGGCGCTCGGCTCAGACTCGCGTTCGTTAACGTTTGTACAAACGTTATTTCCATTGATTTCTACAATGAGAGGCCTCTGTAGGGTAGGCGATTGTATTATCGCGGTGTTGCGGATCGTCGTCATGTTGTTAGCGGGAGGCGCGTCGTCGTCGAGCAGACTGTTCGCGCTCCGGGAGAGCGAAGGGCTGCGCGTGACGGCCGTGACGTCAGACTCAGACTCGTGTTCGACGGGCGACGAATCGATCTTGGTTTCTTCGACGTTTTCTTCTTTCACCTCGGTCAGCTCTTTCAATGTCTCCGTGGTCCTCTTTACGTATTTAGGCATGCGCAGTGCCCAATGGCCGCCGTACTCCTCGGAGCTATAGGAGTGCGTGACGGTCGGCTTCTGACGTTTGTAAAACAACATGTACGCGGTGTTGTTCACCAACTCATCGTAGGCACATTCATCATCGATCCGTGTCACCCTTGAATCGTCGAACTTATACCAGTGGCGGTCGTAAGGGTTTTTGCAGGCGGCAGTGTAATGACCTGTTTCTAAGTCATCGCCGTGATGATAACAAATGGCGTACAAATCGTAAACGTTATCGTGATGATTCAGTGTTGACGTTTTCGAGTATCTCCGACGTGGTGACCGCGAATGCCCCGGCGACTCCGCCGACGAGTTCCTGTGCGCGAGGTGCGGCGTCATGTCGAAATCGTTGAGTGGAAACTCTACCATTGTTGTTAATTTCGTGCTCGTCCGGCCTTTAGGCTGCCTGTAATTTGTTTTTCATAATCTATACTAATATTATAAAGAGGAAAGATTTGTTTGTTTGTTTGTATTGAATAGGCTCCGAAACTACTGAACCGATTTGAAAAATTCTTTCACTGTTTGCAAGCTACAGTATTCCCGAGTGACATAGGCTATAGTCTATTTTGAAAAAAAATTAGGGATTTATACTAAAACACCAATAATGTTACCCAAGGTGTAAAAAATTACCTAAAATACTCTTTATATCGCGTGCCCTGCGAAAACTATTGATGATAGAATAAAATAATGTATTACTTTGTAGAACACATTATTATTTACAAGAAGTGTCGCGACAGCATATGTCTAACTATTATAGTTATGCTGCAATAGTGTTCTTTTATTTAAAAAAATAAAACAACGTCAGATATTGTTGAATTTTTTGTTAAAGACCCGAGCGGAGCCGAAGCGGGCCGCTAGTACAATACAAACACATTACTAAGACATTAATAAGTAGACAAATTAATTAATTGGTAATACTAGTACTATCAGCAATATTCCTCAGTCATGTGGTCTATCCTGTTAATGTAATTATTCTTAAATTCACTAATAAAATAGAAAACAATATACAAATAATTATACTTTAAAATCTAATAAGACGGAATCGACTGAGTATACTCACTGTCTAAATCGCTTCAAATGTATTACTAATATGTCCGGTAGTGACCACAGTCCCAATGTTTTCACCACCGGCATGTACCTCTGACACTGAGGGCATCTGTACAAAAAAATAAAATAAAATATTGTTTGTCGGCCAAGCGTCAAAGTTAAAATATAATAATCATTCGTACATAGATCATCAAATGGTCTATTATAGATTTGTATCATAGTTACTTTTATCAGAAACATGAAAAGTAGGCAAAACTTCACATGTTTCATTTTTTTTTTAATTGTTATATAAGTATAGTAGATATCTTAGTGACTTAAAATACTTGAGACTTTTGTGTTTCAAAAACCAAGTGGATCGTGAGCTGGTTTGTTCATCGAGTACATTAAAAAAATGTGAAAAATTCTTATTCAATTAATATATAAATATTTCACACTCGCCTTGCAATAGGGGGTCCGTATTAGAATTTTACCCATGCGGTTAGAATAATATTAATAAGTAGACGAGTCCGCAACTCACTTATCAAATGCTTACTAGAGTTTAGACCACAGAAATAATATCAAGATTTATTTCTGTGGTTTAGACAGTACAACGTAATGCCGTACGGTAGACCCATGCGGGCTTATTACTTCTAAATCGCCAGTAATTACATTAAATAATGTTCTCTTTTGATTTGTTTAACAATGTACGCGCTGTTAACCTTGGACTTGTCTTGATCTGGATTTCTCGTTGGTTCAACTACAAAAGGTCCCATCTACTGCCCCTAACGCGTATGAGACCGACAATTTCCCAATAATAAAAAAAATATTTTTTTTATTCGTGGAAGTAGTTCGTTAATGTGTTAGGTACGCATTGTGATTACTGGTGGTAGGACACGTCCTGTGAGTCCGCAAGGGTAAGTACAACCACCCTACCTATTTCTGTCGTGAAGCAGTAATGCGTTCAGGTTTGAAGGGTGGGGCAGCTGTCCTACTGTAAAAACTGAGACCTAAGAACTCACATCTCAAGGTGGATGGCGGTATTTACATTGTAGATGTCATAGGCTCCAGTAACCAATTACCACTGGGTAGGCCGTGAGCTCGACCACACATCGAAGCAATAAATAAAATATTTTTTTAGGAAAATTGGTACTCGTCACGGTAAGGCACAGACGCCTCTATCCGTGATCAAGGTCTACGTGAGCACAGAGAAGCAGATCGACCTCCAGGCGTCGTCCTGTCCCAGTCGCTCGGCGCGCGTGTAGTGCGTGAGGCAGGCGTGCAGCGTGAGCGGCGGCGCGCCCCCCCCGCCCGCGGACACGTGCACCTCGCACTGCTCCTTGCACTCGCGGATTATACTGCAACAGAAAAATATAATTCACAATTTTTGAAGTGAAACTTAACTCGATGAAACGAAAAAATAAGTCCATAAAGACAAAAACACATAAATGCATAGGATTCAGCCGGCGAAAGAATGAGATAGAACACCTTAGACATTCGCAGTGTAGTTTTTTTTAATACAGCGCCATCTATGAGATTTTTTAATACTAACGTATGTATGAAACCTCTTTTTATTTTTTATTGCTTAGATGGGTGGACGAGCTCACAGACCACCTGGTGTTAAGTGGTTACTGGAGCCCATAAGACATTTACAACGTTACGGTATTCGCCCCCTTGAGATATAAGTTCTCAAGTTTCAGTATAGTTAAAACGGCAGCCCCACCCTTCAAGCCGAAACGCATGTATGGAGAGAACGCGAAAATAGGCAGGTAGATACCACCATCCTGCATAATAATTAATTACTCAGTAATGCGTTTTGTAGCTTAGTCATTTAACAATAGAGTTGAAACTTTGAGCTCGTGTCTCAAGGTAGATGGCGGCATTCATAATGGACCGTTACTTCGTCTGATCATTCACAACAAAATCTAAATAAAACCTGCAATAAATTATCTTATCTTAAAAGATTTTTTTTGTTATTTCATTTACAAGCAATAGGGGTAAAAAAAATAGAATTTGGAACCGCCTTGACTAAATTTAGCATGGCAGCTGACAGATGAAAAAAATTGATGAGCGCATACTTGTCACGTTGCTCGGGGTCCCAGAGCAGTTCCAACCGGAGATGTGGATGTTTATCGTGCGGACACAAGGCTTGCTCTACGTCCAAGGCGAATAATGGATGCGGTAGCTGTAATGTGACACAATCAAAAATAAAATAATCCTATGTCTTCTAAAATTAAACCTAAAATATAATTAACACTAAACATACCATAACGGGTCAAATGAACCATTTTGAACATTTGCATTGAAAGTGCATGTATCATCTTATTGCTTTTGCACATTTGACTTCTTGACTTTTTCTTACCAAATAATCTACAGTTATTATAATATACTTTTTGTTTTGTTTTGTTTTGTTCATCTTGAGTATTACTTGTCGTATACCATTATCTACCTGCTATGGTAGCAAAAGTACCAATGAGTGTTGGTATGATTAGTGTTAAGTTATCATAAAATTATCGAAGGTAGTTTGTGTAAAATTCAAGAGTTGAGAGTCAACGACCCCAAGATTACATTATCTTCTGTATTATGCAACTACGTTATTAATAAAAAGCTATGTACCTCTGGTTGCAAATAAGCTGGGTCCCGCGGTCGATGTGCCTCAGCTATCCTCGCGCGGAATATATCAGTTCCTTGTGCGTTTTCCAAAACTCGTTCGGATATAATTTGATTCATTTCCTTCAAGATCAACTTCTGTAAATCTTCATAAGAAATCTCCCGCGGAACTTGCATTGCATATGGTGAACCTTTGGATTTGGATAAAAAGACAAAATTCGTTTTTAATTAAAATCAACATTTCTGTGGATTAATATTATTTATTCATGTATGTAAGTTATTGCTTACCAAATCGTTCTCCTTCAATTATATTGACCCATAGTAAGAGAAGATATGGAGTTGTTGGCGTTTGTAATAACGGCGGAGCCTCTAAACAATACAGCGAGCCGAAATCCATACCGGCAACTTCCCAGTTCGCACGAGCGTTGCACCAACCTTAATAAAATTAATACATTAAATTCTCAATACGTGAAGAAGTTCTATCCAAAACCGAAACATAATTAAGCTGTATACTAAGTTAAAATTGTATGTAACCATAAAAAAAAACAGTATTACGGATCAACTAAGTTCATTGGTCCACAATAAAGTGTCTACTACGACTAGGCAATCCAGGTGCTTTAGTATCAGAAATCTACAAAATTACTTCAGTGCGCCACGTAGGGCACCGGTGACCTACATGACAGTCAAAGGGTTAATCGTCGTTGATGACTATAGTTTTCGGGCGACCGCGGTGTACATATTCTTATATCAAAACTCCCATGTCGATTGCGTTCAAACCAATAAGGAGTCCGGCATTTGTTTGTAGTGTTCACACCGAACATTGCTGTCGTCCATGGGCGACGGTAACCACTCACCATCAGGTGGGCCGTACGCTCGTCTGCCTACAAAGGCAATAAAAAAAATAAAAAAAAAACAAAATTTGTGCAATTCACACGTGGTAGAAGTGAAACCTTCTAAAATTAAAATACAATTATCCTAAACGTCTTAAGTATATGTAAAATTTTGTCATTAGTAAATAATTGTAAGGTAGCGCCCTCTGTGAATTGATATTTTAATTTCACGTATAATCCTAAATTAAAATTCACTACAAGAGCTTTCATACACACGTTAGTATTAAAAAATCTCAGAGATGGCGCTGTATTAAATAATATGTATATTTCTGTCTCATTCTTTGCTGGCTTCATCCTACACATTTTTGTATTTGTGTCTCTTACCTGTCGTTTTTTCCGTTGCATCCGGTTTGAAATCACAACGATTCTAAAGAAGTTTTCACTTAAAAAAAAAAGTCATTAATGCTGGGTCGTTTATCTGGCATTGGTATCACGACGAAACTCGTGTATATTATATATAATTATCTATAATTACTCGTATTTTTATCGCTTTTTTTTAACGTTTAGCAATTCTTTGTTGCGTTACAATTTGTGCTTTTACGATACAGATTACACAATAGTCCCGTTACATACATACCTGCTTCGTTGATTTCAGCTAATATAATGTGATCGCGTTCAATTCCTGTATCTGCGTGAAGTGTCGTTCTTAAATCATCCATCGTTGCGGTCGGTGGTAGCTCCAGTCCGATGCGAACTTGTCGAGGTTGCTGATTCACATAAACTACCTAAAATTTGAAAATTCATTTCTAATTAACAATTTACTTTTTTTCTTCCTTTCCTACCTATGCTGGTAGCCTTGAGAGGCTATTTCATCTTCACCCTAACATGTAGGTGAGCTCACGGGGCTCAAACCGGAAGTGTTGCTAACACTGGCCCTAGTAAGAGTAATGTTTTGCAGAATCTAGCACCAGATCGGAAACGCGACCCACTGAGAAGATCCGCCGAGAAACTCAGTGGGCTGTGTCTGTGGGTTAATTTACTCGTCGAGCCCTTCGTAGCAAGCGACGGGTTCGACCAGAACGATGACCGGGATAACGTCACCTGAGTCATCCGTAATTACGAAAATTGTAAGATATTCGAAACATCGGAATGATGCTTTATGAATACAAGCTTATTTTAATTGAATTATTATTTTGGTGTAATGGTAAAATTATTTCAAACCACAGACACCACTAATAGGGTATTGTACAAAGGCTTAGGGGTACTTACATTGACAGGTAGGGGAGACGGTTGTGCAGTTGCTAATCTTGATGGTAGCTGCACACTCACACAATGGAAGGGGTCAAAGGTGCAAGATGTTCTTTCACATTTTGCACACGTTAGGGCCGATCTAAGAAAATATAGAATACCTGAAGTATTTCAGTTTTCTTAATAATAACACATAATCTAGTTTGCGGACCAAATTATATTTCTGCATTGATTCTTGTGCTTAATTCTCCAGTAGCAAAAGACAATAGGGTACACTGATACCCAGAATTGGAATTAAACAGGAGGTTTGTATATAAAAACAAAAAATTTATTGGATTTATATGAAGGAAAGTCCACATTGTACATATCAATTTTAATATATCTTAATAATATCATGCCAAAGTCTTAAGCACTGAATTGTATTGTATTTTTGTATGGTAATGTTTTTTTAAAGAATACTTTTATAAAAATATCTTTTTAAAATAGTTATAAAAAGAAATTTACTCTGAACTGAACAATTCAATAGGTTTGAAAAATAGGTTTTGGTTTCACTATAAAATTTCCCACAGTTCAATGTTCCGCTTTGCATAGACCTCCTGTAACATTTTCCACGGAGTTCTGTATTACGCTACCCTTCTCCAAAATAGCTATTACCATTGCCTTATTTCATGATTAATATTGTTAGCACCTAACTTTAAGTTTAATCAGAAATCTATTACCTATATTGTGCTTGAAAAACTGTCTGCACAAATGAGCTATTTCTTCTAGCATGATTTGCTAATGTTTCTGCTGCGACTACCTCATCTGGCTTCCCACAAGTATTCTAAAAATATCAGAAAAAATAATTAAAATTAAGATAATGAACAGAATAAACCTTTATAATTTGTTTATCAAATACCTTTATTGTTTTATATTTTCTTTTTGTAGCGGTATTTAAATCCTCATGCACTTTATCAAGAAGCCAAAATAAAAATTCTTGCGCATCATGTTGACTGTTACCTCTATATTGCGTGCCATGTCTTTCCACAGTTTTCTGTAAATGCGGACTAATAAATAAGAATTATTTTATAACTGCTACTAATACTTAAAGGGTTCTTCAAAATTGAAAAGAAATTATGTTGTGATATGAGTTGCACAATTTTAGTTCAAAATAAAAACTGAGTGCAGTAAACTAAAACCTATCTAATTAATAAGATTTAAACAATACTACCACATAGTTGTAAGAAATTTTCGAAAATTAACGATATGGTAGTATCAGTTCTGACACAGCAAGTAATTCTAGAATGTGGGAGGGAGCCTTTGAAATTAGGGCCAACAATCCAGTAACCTCTGAAGTGGTTAATTTGCAGAAGTGAGTTCAGTCTCATTATGATTTAATGAGTTGAGGTTACTACCAAATAATTGGCTGTAAAGATGGCACTTGTGTATGATAGCAATGGAAGTAGATTCCAACTGCCTTGTATTATATGCATTTTTTTGTTCCTTACATTATTAATTCATATTACCAAGAGATAGATAAATTGTGCTTTACAATGAGTATAAAGTATACTATTTTTTTTATTGAATTTAATTAATAATCCCAGCTTTAAAATTAAATACAATTTCATTTTTATGATATTAGGTAGGTTATATTTTTATCATTATTTACTATTGATTTCCCTTAAACTCTATGTTAACTTCTACAATTATTCATAAACTAGTTTGCATGGCATAAGATAATTCCTAAAAAAATCCATTTAATGTTTTATTTAAATGTAAATCTAATTACGTAATTCTAAAATAAAAATGTGATTCTAAGTAATAATTCTATATACAGCAACAACAACAATACACTACAGCTTTATCTGTGTTTTTGATTTCTCATAATAACCGTTTCATCACCTAAGAGGTTGGTAAACCAAACAAACCAGTCTTAGTAAACTCATTTATATGTATTAATGTGTTACTTGACTTTACCAATCAATTTACCTTAAAGGTTGTGCTCATATCTGGTGTGTAGTGACAAGCCCATAATGATTTCAACAATGATGCCAACTGCTCAGTAACTTCTCCTCTTGTTCCATATTTCTTTGAATTAATTTTATTTCGCTTCTGAAGATCAACCTGTAATATTAGAATTTAGAATTATAATTTTCATTTATTATTGTATTGAAGGAACACGTCGTAATTTGGAACGGTTTTCAACTAATCCTGCTCATGGTAAATCTATATAATTATTATAGGTTTTTTTTTTCATGTTTCAATTATATTTAAGCTTCATTTTTTAAAAGATATAGTGCAGTTTTAGAAGTGTAGTAAAACCATACTGTGTAACCAAAAATGGCAAGAACATCAAATTTAGATTTCTCTCAAAATGCTTTATGGCATCTTATGTATATAATAGCTATCCCAGCATTTCAAACTTCAACACTGTCTTAACCAATACAAGTAAATACTACCCAGTCAATATCTACTCCAAAGAAGACATTTCACTAGTCATGATGGTAATACATAATAATTTTTGCAATGTCAATTTCATTACATAATGATATACGTGCATTGAGGAAAACATTTGTGAACAAGTGCATAAGTGTCTTTTTCTTAAATTAAAATGCAGATAAAGACATATTTTTTGAAATATTAAATAAAATATTATTAAGATACCCCTAGATGCATGAACATACATTTTTTCACACACTTAACTGGACTCTCAATTTTCAAAATAAGTGATGACATATTTTATACTAGATACAACAATTGGTTTCGTCATCAAACAAATACCTTATAATGGTCCAACACAAAATATTCAGCAATAACATCTGTATGAGAAAGGCACTGCAGGACAGCATTCATGTAACAAGTGTTTCCGTGGTTCTTTATCCCTGTCGCAGCTGGAGTGGTCCCAGGTGGCCACGGAGGCTCACCATTACAATTCGTCTTCTCTCCATTAACTAAAACTGGAGCCGGTTTGCCCTAAAACAGTTTACATTTGGTTATCTTAAATTGTTTTAGGTTTCCTATCATTAATATTGAACTAATTTTACTAAACTAAAATTTAGTTTAGGAAGCAACTTATTAAACTTGATTTTAAAGTAGTTATTATTTATATTTCTTCCATGTCTTGTTTAATATAGACTTGAATTCGCCAAACTCCTTCAGTTAGGATTACATTAATAAGTTCCAGATATATAATTTTAGCTATTTATTTGTTATAGTAAAAGCCATTTATGTGTTTGTTAAATTGGTACTTACACCCGCTACACGTACTGTACTCATATGTAGAGCTATCTTATTCAGAAACCTTTTCCATGAAGGCCTTCTGAACAACTTCCTTTCTAAGCTGCCCTCNAATTCGCCAAACTCCTTCAGTTAGGATTACATTAATAAGTTCCAGATATATAATTTTAGCTATTTATTTGTTATAGTAAAAGCCATTTATGTGTTTGTTAAATTGGTACTTACACCCGCTACACGTACTGTACTCATATGTAGAGCTATCTTATTCAGAAACCTTTTCCATGAAGGCCTTCTGAACAACTTCCTTTCTAAGCTGCCCTCGTCCTTTTGTGTATCACTTATCACAGAACTAGAATTTATGGATTTGTTGTCTCCATCGCCACTTTTACTTTTACTTGAACCAGGCTTTGAGTTCCCAAAGGGATTCCTGGGTAAAGTAAAAGTACGCTTCAATCGGGATCCTTCCACTTGCTTCTGTGTCATGCTAGTTTCCGATGTTTCATTTATAAGTTCACTTTCTGAACAAGATTTGAGAACAGATGATAAATTATTAATAGACATAGTAGTTTATTTGGAAATCAAACCAGCAAAAAAGCTATTGGAAAAAGAAACTTAGTGGAAAACATTGATATGTCGTTGACGTATACGCCATCTTGTTTGATTTTTAATTCTTTTGACACGTGACAATAGCTCTAGTACTATCATACAGCCTAGTCACCTTCGTAGCTTATCACAAATTGATTATGTTTAGCACTCATTTTTTAACTATCGACATTAAATTTTGTAAAGTACATACCACTTCCAAATTCATAAAAGCATTTAATGGATGGAATGGTCCCGTCAATTTTTTACAGAATACGGCAACTTTTTAAACATTTAAATTAAGTCCACGTTAGCTGTTTTTTCTTATTTTATTTATGGAATAAGTTTTTTGTTTATTTTCGCATATTTCTTTAGTACTAGACTAGACTAGATTTCTACTAGACTAGATTTTAATTTTTGTTGATGTTTGTTTTAGTCGTCAACCACATTTGTTTTTGACATGAAATTAGCGTTTTAATTTTCTAACCGGAAAATTTTCTAAAAATTTTTAATTTGTGTACTTTACCAAATATGTACTCAGTTCCACGAAATATTCTCTAAAAGCGTGTGGGATCTACACTCTTGCAATTCACTGTTGACGTCGTCCTCCTCGCATCATTTTCCTCATTACTAACGGTCGTGACTCCCCCACTGCATCAGTTTCTCCCATACGATTTCCCTCCATTTGCTGCGATCCTTAGCTTCATGTAGGGCATTGTGGAAGTTGATATTTACAGAAGATCGTACTATTGACGTAGCCATAGTATAAAACTAATCTATAATTTTGACTTGAGTTGTATTATCCAATCCATGACTTTTTGGCGGGAACGTGAGGAGTGATATTGTGTAATTTGTTTTATCTTGTCCATTTAGTGTTACTTCAGGTTTAAATGTGTAATCTTCTTCTTCTTGCTTCGATTTCCTCAATACTGAGGGTCGTAACCACCTCCTCGCAACAAGAGCTTATTACGGACCATTCTACGCCATTTGCCTCTATCTGCCGCTGAGTATAGAGCATCGAGAACTGTGGTATCGAGGGTAGTGCGTATCTGGTCAGTCCAACGTGTTAGCCCTCTACCTCGTGGTCTTCTTTCGTTCACCTTGCCAGTCACCATTAGTTTCTCCAAGCTGACGTGATTCTTGTGTAATAATAAATGTGTAATAACAGTGGTTTATTAACTGTGTAATATCTGACAAATTGCGCAAGTGTGGGAAAGTGAAGCAAAACCGCTGGACGTAGCTTCTTGGGAACCTCCAAAAAGTCCACAGAAAAAATCTTAGTAAATGACCACCATTTTACTGATATTATAGTAATATTTCATACCATATCAGCTCATCTCATTTTATTTAATTTCATCCCCGTTCATTAACTTCTCAAATTAATCATCTTCATTTCATTTCATTTCATTTCATTTCACGCCATATTATATTTTTTCATAAAAATAAGATTAGAAATTAAAGTAAGACATAACTTTTTTTTTATTGCTAAGATAGGTGGACGAGCTCACAGCCCACCTGGTGTTAAGTGGTTACTGGAGCCCATAGACATCCACAACGTAAATGCGCCACTCACCTTGAGATATAAGTTCTAAGGTCTCGAGTATAGTTACAACCGCTACCCCACCCTTCAAACTGAAATAAAATGTTGTATAGAAAGCTGCCATTGTTCTTTAATGTATTATCTATGGTTTGAATAGAACAGACAAGATTGTATGGGCTTAGATCCTTTTGCCTTTCTTAATAAGTAAAAATTGTACCAAAAAAATATCTATGGTTTGAGTAGAAGGCGGTACATACCTACATTGTTTAAATTTATTTTATTTATAATTATTGATCTATTTATGTATGAAGAAGTGTTAAACGTTGAGTATATTTTTTTAGATCTATGAAATTAAATAGCTATAAATAATAATGCCGCTCTAATCGCTAGTTAAAAATTGGTTCGAGACAAATACGTAAGAATTTTAATTTTTAATTTGACAAATTCAATTATGTACGTGCTATGATATCCTGTAATTAAAAACGTACTAGTATACATGTCTAAACAATTTAAAATTGTAAGCAATTGAACTAATGCAAACATTTAGTAAAAATGTTGTATATTCGTGCATAATTAATATTATTTTATAGAGAAAATAATGTAATTAAATAAACTTTATTAATAATTTAAGCAGTGGCAGCATAGTATTGGATCAAGTTTAATTTCCTAATTTAATAAAGTAAATTTATGAATTTTTTGAATAATTAATGATTAAATAGTAAAGAGGGTGGCGGTATTCACGTTGTATTTATGAAGCGATGGTAACCACTTCTCGTTATGAGGATCGTGAGCTCATCCTTCCGTGTAATATAAGATTCGAAGGTTAAAAAAAAAACGTTAATTACTCAACAAAATAATCAGGATTGTTTTCAGTCTGGTGGCAGATGATTCAAGTTCAGAACTGATTATTTCCGATTAAAACGAAACATATGCTCATCTCCTTAATTATCGCAGAAATATAAAGATACTCATATTTAAAAAAAATATGATTTGCTTCTTCTGTAAATAAAATGTATAATAATATATTCATTTCAGAATTTTCATTACTGATAGGTGCACAATGTCAGCTGTTGCAAAACTCAAACTTCTCATCTGGAAAAATGTTCTGCTCCAAAAAAGACACAAGTGGCAAACAATTTTTGAAATAGCATCACCAGTTATATTTTCTTTATTTTTAATATTAACAAGATGCCTCGTAGACCCAAAATCTAAACCTGCTATTACTTATTCACCATTTCAACCAACATATCTCAACATTACTGGTAGAAACCTGTAAGTATTATTCGGTTTTGTAAGTATACTTAAAAACCTTATTTGTTAAAAAAATTAATTTTCACAGAGGAAATTTAACAGCAGCTAAAACAGGAACACTTGCATTCTCTCCAGAAAACCCTTTAACAAGAAATGTTGTAAGGGATGCTATTGCAATGGTTGCAAATGACAACTTAAGTTTCCTTTTTACTTTTATATTTGACTCAAATATTCTACCTCAGCCTAAAGGATATAAGAATGCTAAAGATATGGAACTGGCACTTACACAACCCAATGCAATGAATCAAATTTTAGTTGGAATCCAATTTGATGATGTAATGGCCAGTAAGTAAAAGAACTTTCAATTAAATTGCCTAAAAAATGTGTTTTCTGTTGGTAATATTTTTATATATAAAAACATTTCAGATGCTACAGAATGGCCTGAAAACATAACTGTAAGATTTAGATTTCCAGCTGTAATGAGAACTCCGATGATTGAGCATCCATTGAGAGCTAGTTGGAGGACTAATTTACTCTTTCCATTGTTTCCAAGGCCAGGGCCAAGAGATGCAGACGATATGTATGGTGGAAAAACTCCTGGTTGGTTGATGTTTTTTTATATCGATACAATGTTTTCCATGGAGTAATAAATATCAATGCATTTTTTAATATATGTTTTTAGGATATTCCCCAGAAATGTTTTTAGCGGTACAGCATGCAGTGTCACAAGAAATAATCAAACAAAAAACTGGTAAAGCTATAAATACCAAAGTATACCTACAAAGATTTCCTCAGGTGGCATACAGAGAAGACGAATTGTTGATAGCTTTAGAGAGATTTATATCTATGATAATAATGCTTTGCTTTGCCTACACATTTGTGAACACCGTAAAAATGGTAACAAATGAAAAAGAATTACAACTCAAGGTACATTCACTTAGTTTAACAACGATTTCACTAGAACTTTAATTTTACACAAAGTTTCAACCCCTACTTTACATTTGCAGGAAACTATGATAATAATGGGTCTACCCTCATGGCTCCACTGGCTTGCTTGGTTTATAAAACAATTCTCATTTCTTTTAATATCAGTTCTCCTAATTGTGATCTTGCTAAAGGTATCCCAGTTTTTTATGATAATATATAAATTTTACTTTAAATTTTATTTTAATATAAATGCTGTGTAATATAATTGCAGATTCCTTTTAATCACACTGAAGATGGTCAAGGCTATTCTGTGCTCACGTTTACACCTTGGTCTGTTCTATTTTTCTTTATGGTGCTTTACGTGATGGCGTCACTTGCATTTTCTTTCATGATCAGCGTATTTTTCAATAAAGGTAATAATAGAAAGAAAGTGTTGAAAATATGAACTGATACAGTTTCTATTAGTTAGGTTGCAGATTCTTCTTTTTCGATAATGATTTATAATATATATATATATATTTTATTTATTTAGTAGTAGTGAAATTTTCTTGTATAATCTACATTTAAATTGACCTTCAATTTCATTTCTACCCTACAAAACTTAATATTGCCATAAGGCCAAGTACAATTTAAATAAATTAATATCGTTATTAATTATAAATAGGAAAGCAGAAGGACATCATCATATTAATATTAAAACAACTTTAATTTGAATTATTTGCAACATTATAATAAATATAGGCGATGTTCTGTTTTTTGCAGCCAACACCGCCTCATCGTTTATGGGTCTGGCGTGGTTTTCTACTTATGCCGTTTTCATGTTGACGCAAGTGCTGTACGAAGATATAAGTCTTACTACAAAATTACTTCTTAGTCTTATATCGAATACCGCCATGGGTTACGCCTTCCAGATGATTATAATGTGTGAAGGCACATCCAGAGGTAACACCTGAATCGATTNGTTTTTTGCAGCCAACACCGCCTCATCGTTTATGGGTCTGGCGTGGTTTTCTACTTATGCCGTTTTCATGTTGACGCAAGTGCTGTACGAAGATATAAGTCTTACTACAAAATTACTTCTTAGTCTTATATCGAATACCGCCATGGGTTACGCCTTCCAGATGATTATAATGTGTGAAGGCACATCCAGAGGTAACACCTGAATCGATTCACAGACCAATCGATAATTGAACTTATGAATGATTTTTTATTCACTACATATCTTTAAGTATAAAATAGCCATGAGTCATTTTGTTGCATTGAATACACTAAACACTTATATTAAGCCTTTGTAAACACTAGTATCGCCTTTAAAAAATATATTAATAATCGTATATCAGCGGTCGGGGAACTTTTTTAATTATTACCCCAAAATATTTTTGTGTAAGTTGACATTACCCCATGGCGAAGAACAAAAAAAAAAACGAAATCGCTTCTTTTTAGCATCTTTCATATTATAGCCCCCATGATAATTTTGAAAAGAAAACAATAACTAAATTTTTAATTTAAACATAATTTATTCAATTTATCAATGTAATACCTCGTAATACATAACGGTAATAATAGTAATACATATATCTAATATACAGTTGAGCGAAAAAAAATCGCCCCTACAGAAAATATAAGTAAATGATAATTTCTTGTTCAATATGATATTTTTATGAGTTTGAAATCACAACGATTCTAAAGAAGTTTCACTTCAATATATAGTTTTAACTCACAAAAGTTTCATTTTTACCCCCCAAAATTGCATTTTACCTCATTTGGGGTAATTTACTGCGGTTCCCCGACCGCTGTCGTATATCAATACCCAAAAAATTGTGCAGAACAATTTTCTAAATAACATTCCTAACCCTGTTTTTATTTTGTTAGGACTGCAATGGAACGAGTTTTTCTCTCCAATATCATATCACGACAAATTTCAACCAGGGCATGTCATGTTGATGTTGATGCTGGACACAATATTGTACATGTTAATTGCTATGTATGTCGAAAAAATACGACCGGGAAAATTCGGTGTACCGATGCCGTGGTATTTTCCATTCACGAAAAAATTTTGGTCGACAAATAAGTCGAGGATCGCTGGTAAGTCACAATTCATTTAGTAAAGTTTCAGAGATGTTTTTATAATGTTTATCCGTCTACATGTTACGCACACGTAACTTCCTAAAAAGAATTCAATGGTTTAGTTGAAAGAGGATATGTGGTAGAAGGATGTGAGTGCAGAAATGATGTATGATAGACCTGAATAGAAGAATGGGACATGCTGCGCGAACAAGGGCAAGAAGTCTGTCCGCATGTTACCGTAGTTTTTTTTTTTTAAATAAATCTAAGCCTTATTACGGATGACCAGAAAAACGCTTTTAACTATTTATGACAAGTGCGAATGTTCAAACACGAAAAACCAAAGATATTTCAAGCTAAATTATGATCCTTTATAGATCAACTAGCGACCCGCCCTCGCTTCGCTTCGGAAACATTAAAACACACATGAAACAAAACAAAAAAAAAAAAAAAAGGTAGCCTATGTTCATCAGGTACAATGTCGGCTTCTAATGGAAAAAGAATTTTTCAAATCGGTCCAGTAGTTTCGGAGCCTATTCGAAACAAACAAACAAACAAATCTTTCCTCTTTATAATATTAGTATAGACTAAATATTGTATTTTGATGAAAATATGTAAATTTTGTAAATATCGTAGGCGGTTTTGCTATTTGCTTTTTGCGTCGTCCCTTTCAATTTACACACCATATTTTGCTTTATTAGATGGGCCGGGATGCTCTCGACCTATTCGATGTTAAGTTGTCGTCGGAACTCGTAAATATTAACCACGCGAGGCCAGGGTCAAGTTTCCCTTGCATTTGTACAACGTAGCCTATCTACCCTCGCGATCCAGAACCCAAGATTCTTTTGCATCAGAAGTTGACAGAATGACGGCACTCACCCGTGCCGCATTTCAATATTTCTTACAAGCTGTACCGGAAATTTTAAACTTGTTATTTAAACAGAAAAATAATCATTCGAATCTTTTGTCGAGTCGTCGTGGCCTAAAGGATAAGACGTCCGGTGCATTCGTATCTAGCGATGCACCGGTGTTCCAATCCCGCAGGCGGGGACCAATTTTTCTAATGAAATACGTACTTAACAAATGTTCACAATTGACTTCCACGGTGAAGGAATAACACCAGGTAATAAAAATCAAACCCACAAAATTATAATTTACGTAATTACTGGTGGTAGGATATCTTGTGACTCTGCGCGGATAGGTACCACCGCCCCGCCTATTTCTGCCGTGAAGCAGTAATGCGTTTCGGCTCGAAGGGTGGGACAGCTGTTTTAACTATACTTGAGACTGTAGAAGTTATATCTCAATATGGGTTGTGCATTTACATCGTAGATGTCTGTGGGCTCCAGTAACCACATAACTTCAGGTGGGCTGTGAGCCCGTTTACCCATCTAAGCCATAAAAAAAATAACACTTAACACCAGGTGTGTTGTGAGCTCGTCCGCCCATCTAAGCAATAAAATAAAAACTTGATATAAAGGCACTGATAGACCAACCATTCACTGCTACACAAACTGTATTATATACATATAGCTATTACAAGTTGTGATGTAATATCTCTATAGATAATAAATAAAGACGCAAGTGAATATGAAAATTTCAATTTAGAAACGACATTAGACATAAAGTATGTACACTTAAGTGTTATGTTGCTTTATAATTAATTATTTTCAAATCACGATCCTGGGTTTGTAGCTACTAATTGGAAACGAAAAAAATCATCATCGTAGAAACTTTATATAATGAAGGTGGCCATGAACCGCTGACCTTGTAGACGATATAATGACATGTACTTGTCAACGCCTGCGGTTCGAATAGTTAAAAGCATCCATTGTATAATAGCATTATTAAAAAATTGTAGAAATTCTTTAAATCATTTAATTCGTAAATGGCCTAGAACAACACCACTACATATTTTCCCGAGTGTTTCGTAAAAGGCAACTATGGGATTTATCAAAAAATTGATAGCTGTGTTTTCTGAGTACTATACAAGCGTATTGCGATCGCCAATCGGCATTAAAAACTTCTTTTTTTTTTATTGCTTAGATGGGTGGACGAGCCCACAGCCCACCTGGTGTTAAATGGTCACTGGAGCCCATAGACATCTACAACGTAAATGCGCCACCCACCTTGAGATATAAGTACTAGGGTCTCAGTATAGTTACAACGGCTGCCCCATCCTTCAAACCGAAACGCATTATTGCTTCACGGCAGAAATAAGCAGGGTGTTGGTATCTACCCGCGCGGACTCACAAGAGGTCCTACCACCAGTAATTACGCAAATTATAATTTTGCGGTATTGATTTTTATTACACGATGTTATTCCTTCACCGTGGAGGTCAATCGTGAACATTCGTTGAGTACGTATTTCATTAGAAAAATTGGTACCCGCCTAAGATTCGAACACCGGTGCATCGCTCAACACGAATGCACCCGGACGTCTTATCCTTTAGTCCACGACGACTTCGGACTTCGACTTCCATCCTGCCTATTTGCGGCATGGAGTAGTCAAGCATGTAGCATACAATTAATACTTTGACCTTATACCGCAAAGTGGGAAACAACATTCACGTTGTGATAATTATGGGCTCCCGTAACAACAACTTGGGCCGGGAGCTTGTTCATTAGGCATCAAGAAAAAAATGTACATAAATCTTCAAAAATGTAGAAATCTACTAACGGATGTATCTCGGATATTTTATTGCGCAAAAACAATGACCTTCGTTGGCAGCAAAAACAAAAAAATAAACAAAAAGTAATTGAGTGAAGATTTGATTCTGTTTGTTATTTTTTTCTAATACATAATACAAGTTGTTAGAACTGGTATTTTAACGTTTAAAGTATTTTTAATTTGTCTTCTACACAATTTAAAACAGTATTGAAAAAAAAGCTAACAATAAAATCAAACAATAGTAATATGTAGTACTTATATTTTCATATGTTTCCTAATTCCTATCTTAAGTATTGATGGTAGAGCATACTCTGATCCAGCACCGATGGGTACTGGTACATATTCATTATTCTCAAATTTGAATTTATTTGAAAAATACAATGCTCTCCTCAAAAACAACCTTGCAGCTGCAAAAACGGAAGAATCTAGCGATACAGCGTACCATGATGCTCTCCTGAAAGTTGTTCACGACGAAGAACCTAAAGATTCGCCCGTAGGTGTCGACATTCAAGTGAGTTCCGAATAAATTCGATATTAGAAGTATTACTAAGTATATGACAGACCCTTTGTGAAAGAAACTATATGATATGACAGTATATTATTATGATAGTATAGCTAAAAATAAAACGTGTTTTTTTCTCTCAAAATTGTTCGATTTTCGGCTAGAAACTGATTTAATAATAATTAAAAAGTAATGCAATATATTTTCTCAAAAACGGTAATGGGACTTCCTAATTTCTTCAAATTGGACCGTTTATCTTTTTGTATTGTAACCCCCAATATGGGCTATTTTTTTACTGTTCTCAATTGATTGCGATTTTGTCACAGTGTATAGTTTGTGGTCCATGTCTTCATTAGCATACAGATAAAAGAAGATTAGTGAAGGAAGTTAAACAAAGCTCTAGTCCGAATAATATTATTCTTCTATTGTAAAGATATGAACAGTATAATTATCAAGCTCGCTTCATACCAACCTAAGTACAAGTAGGTACAAGATAACTTTTAAGCTTTTTCCAGTAACACCTGAAGACGTCGGTCGAAGTCTCGACTTTGTTAAAATAATAGACTATTAAAATACTGTTAATCAAACCCTTCCACTTCTGTACTTCGTGATAGGAAAAGCTGGATATATTACAAATTTGTTCAAATTTCTTGCTATTCCAGAATCTCACAAAGATTTATAAAGGCAGAAAGGCGGCCGTTGATAATTTAACATTAAGATTATATGAAAACGAAATCACTGTATTGCTCGGTCACAATGGGGCTGGCAAAACCACAACGATATCGATGTTAATCGGTAAGATTTGTCTACAAATAAATAATGTTTTGAAAATGCGCAGTTTTGTGTTAAAATACCCACATAAAATTACAGGTATGATTCCTCCGACCTCCGGCACGGCTACGATAAGCGGCTACAATATAGTTACGGAAACTGAAATGGCACGTAGTTCTATTGGCATATGCCCGCAGCACAATGTCCTCTTCCCCGACCTTACTGTAGCCGAACACATAGAATTTTACGCAAGATTAAAAGGAGTTTCGAACAATGAAATCCAGAAAGAGGTTGATCATTTCGTCAAACTTCTTGAGCTTGAGGAAAAGGTAAGTTTAATATTCTCAAAATGTTTTTTCAGCTATGTTCAACCATAGAGCCAGAGTTCGACATAGACAACAATTAAGGTCTCCTCGTCTCTCCGTCTATTAATTTACGGTAACAACATTTCTTCGACTTCAAAGACAGCTTCCCGCCCGCTCTGCGTGTTACCAGTACTTTGGGATTTCGAAGCAATGTAACTTCACATTCGGTAGAGACACGTGGCCCGAGTTGCCGTAGTGTTACAGTGATATACACGCGGAGCCTTCTATTTTTTATTCTTTTTATTTTTTTATTGCTTTGATGGGTGGACTAGCTCACAGCCCACTTGGTGTTAAGTGGTTACTGGAGCCCATAGACATCTACAACGTAAATGTGCCACCCAACTTGAGATATAAGTTCTCAGGTCTCAAGTATAATTACAACGGCTGCCCCACCCTTCAAACCGAAACGCATTACTGCTTCACGGCAGAAATAAGCAGGGCGGTGGTAACTACCCGCGCGGACTCAAAAGAGGTCCGACCACCAGTAATTACGCAAATTATAATTTTTCGGATTTAATTTTTATTACACAATGTTATTCCTCAACCGTGGAAGTCAATCGTGAACATTTGTTAAGTACCCGCCTTGTTAGGTACCTGCCTGCGAGATTCGAACACCGGTGCATCGCTCAACACTAATGCACCGGACGTCTTATCCTTTAGGCCACGATCTACTTGATCAACGTGTTATAGTAAGCGGCACGTAAGTTGGCAAGGTTTTGGTGTAGTGGGGGTAATGTCGCGCATAGTGCACAGTGCAAACAAAAAATGGTCACTTTTATTGCCCTCATATAATTTAATTTAATTTTATTAAATGTTTTTATTTGCCATAATTTATTTTTAAGCCTGTGTGTTGAGAAGAAAGTTAAAGAAAAGAGAGGAATTCGTGAAGTCTATTAGGTGCTATAAATAAAATACAATAAAAAGTTAAGAAGTTTATTTAAAAAAATATACTTAATATTAAAAATTATGTGTCGCCGTCGTCACTATCATTTTCTAATAATGCTACCCATTGGATTAAATTTATAGTAGCACCTGAGCTGGTGGAAGGAGTTGCCTCCTCCTCGTCGACATGACGAAGAGTCGCTGTCGTCACTGGCGTAAATAATAAAACGCTCAATGACTGAATCGACTATATGAGTCGTCTATTATCAAAGGTGGCAATCTGTGCATTTGGACAAAAAAATGTAATTGATATTGTCCATAAGTCACATTGCCGGCTTTGATAATAGTCGACTCATATGGTCATTGGTATTTGGTACTGGCATTGCAAACAAACTTAAAACAATAACACTCGTAACAAAAACTCAATATAAACAAAGGGTTCCTACAACTTTAGTAGGCGCATGTGTTACCGGGAGCGATCGGAAAGTGGCCGCGGTGCGGGAGGGGAGGGTCGACTGACTCACTAATCGCGCGCTCGGAACGGTGCAATGTCTTTCCCCGCGTCCCGCTTGACAACCAAAGAGACCTAAAAAACGACTTCTGCGCATCTAGCGACTCTTGCCAAGTTACGTGCCGGGGACTATACTTGTAGTGATGTAGTGAAGCACACATATTAGCGACACCTTGTGTTGTGTGCCAGAGGCACGCGGCGGCGTCGAGTCTGTCGGGCGGGCAGAAGCGGCGGCTGTCGGCGGGCTGCGCGCTGTGCGGGCGCTCGCGCGTGGTGCTGCTGGACGAGCCCACGTCGGGCCTGGACCCGGCGGCGCGGCGCGCGCTGTGGGACCTGCTGCAGCGCGAGAAGCGCGGCCGCACCGTGCTGCTGACCACGCACTTCATGGACGAGGCGGACGTGCTGGCCGACCGCGTGGCCGTGCTNGCACCGTGCTGCTGACCACGCACTTCATGGACGAGGCGGACGTGCTGGCCGACCGCGTGGCCGTGCTCGCCGCCGGCCGCCTGGCCTGTCTGGGCTCCCCCTACTTCCTCAAGCGCCACTACGGACTCGGCTACAAGCTCGCGCTCGTCAAGGACGCCGCCTGCCAAGTCGATCTTGTTACAGAATTCTTCAAAACATACATCCCGGATATAAAGGAAAATACTAATATAGGTAATACCGAAATTTATTAGCAATCAGCGTACAGTAAGTAAAAATCCTATGTGGTTTTGAAAACCAATTAGAAGTATATTAAAAGAAAAATATTTCACATGTTAATTTAAAATAGGTGCTAGATGTTTTGACATTGACTTTTTTCATTTTTTATCTCAGTAACTAGTCTTTTAAGCCAAATCTTATATTGCCTTCTTATATTCTATTATAAAATGAAAAATGTTATGAGGTGAAACGAGACGAAGTTGATTAATTGTATACTTTAATTAATTGGAATGAAATTAAATAAAACGCGATGTGGGTGGGGCGAAATAAAGTCTCAGTAAAATCGTCGTTATTTACTGAGAATATTTCAGTAGACTTTTTGGTAGAACTCGATAAGCTTGAATTTTATGCAGCGGCTTTTTTTATATCTGTGCACTTTCACAGATGCTAACACCATTATTACGCCTTTAAACCTGAAGAAACATTAAATAAATATAAAAACATATTACACAAATTCGCTGCTCGTGTTCCCGCCAAAAAGTACGACGTTTATTTAAAATAAAACGTGGCAAATCAATTTATTTTAAACGAACAGTAACTGTAGTGTATTAGTGAGGGTACTTGTTCTTCTATACTAATATATAAATCTACAGTGGTTTTTACGGATGTTCCGTTATAACTACTGAACCATACATCCGATTGACTTGAAATTTAGTATCCTGTAGAAAATACATGTACTTAGTGGATAGGCTAATATTTATATGAGTGTCGAACTCCCTACACCAATTGCGGGGGCGTTAATGATGAGAATCTTTGTGGGGGTGAGAAATAATAATGTTAATTTTAAATGCCCAGCGAAGCGGACAGGTATAGCTAGTTTTTTAATAAAAGCATTGGTAAGTACGGGTTGTATAAAAACAGATTCACAGTGAACTAACTTGTTATTCAACACATTTGCTTAAGTTAATAATAAAACATAATATCTAATCACGCAAATAAATGAAATGATTGTTGCGAATAAAGTTCTTCACTAGAACTGAGTGCATTCATATTCGGGAAGATTGAGATTTTTAGAACTCAAGTATCGAGACCTAATCCGCAGTGATGAAAAAAATGGTGTCAGATTTAATGGGGGATGGCGCTGATCGATAGTTAGATTTCTGAAATATATCTATATATAAAAATGAATTGCTGCTCGTTAGTCTCGCTAAAACTTGAGAACGGCTGGACCGATTTGACTAATTTTGGTCTTGAATTATAAATTATGTGTGGAAGTCCAGAGAAGGTTTAAAAGGTAAATTTAAGTATGAAAATGCTCAATTTTGTTTTTCCTTTGATGTGTTCCCCGTCGAACGGATTCCTTTTGTTTGTTTTAAGTTTATTTTATACAAAAGTTTAGGTCGTTTATTTATCGATTGAGGCACTACGAAGTCTACCGGGTCAGTTAGTATACAATGAAAATTACCAAGATCAAGACAAGTTGTCGTAATATTACTGTGTATATAAACTGAAACGTGCTTCCAAACCAAGCACGAATTTCATTTCAATCTCAATTAAAACTTATTTGTAAATTACGCACGTGATTGTTGCAGGATCGGAACTGACTTACATCCTACCTAACGAATATGTTAGTAAATTTCCCGACATGTTCAAAGATTTAGAAGAAAAAAGAGAATTGTTGAAAATATCTAGTTATGGTCTGTCATTGGCCAGCCTCGAAGAAGTGTTTATGAAGTAATTTTTTATTATTTTTTATTCATCGTCGGTGTCCATATTAAAATAGATTCATCAAGGCTTCTTCTATGCATGTTGAATGGAAAACAGTGGGTTGATTGTCTAATTAATTAGCTACCTCTCCTGTTGCTCTCAGTATATTTGTACTATAATAACATTTGCCTTAATGTAGAATTGGGTCTGTAGCACATAAAATAAGACTATTCTTTAATTTTGCACTTTCATTGTTCTTTTCTCAAATCTTCTGTATTATAATAATAAAAAAATAATTGGCACCTATTTTACGGCTTGCTCATTCAATCGTCTTCGCCATCTTCCTTTTTCTCTGTCATTCTCTTTTCCCTTTCTTACCGTTCTCTTTCACTCACATCTTAACGCTTCCGTCTACACTCTTTTCATACTTTCCGTTCTTATCAATCCTACATTAACGTATGCTATTTATTTACATATTAAAGTTTAGCATATAGTGCAATTAATTGAAAAATTTAATAGGATTCGACATTTTGTTAATCCTACAGCCGATCCATTAAATCTCTTCGGTCACTCATATACTTAGTCTGACCATAAATACTGTTACAAGTAAAAATAAAAAAAATCCTATTGCAAATAACATTTATTACTTTTACAATGTGTTAGTTTAATACATAAATATAAATCAATTTAAAGTATAAAAAGCTTATTCGAAGTGGTCTCCATTGGTTGCAATACAGTCCTTTAAACGTTGAGGCCAGTTATCAATAGACGCACGCACTCTTTCCATGGGAAAAATTTTCACTGCCAATCGTACGGATTGTTTTAGGGACTCCAAATTATCATGGCGTTTAGAGCAAGCCGTACTCTCTAAAACTAACCATAAATCATAATCCAGCGGATTAAGATCGGGACTAGACTAGAGCAATCATATAAAAATGACAGATTGCAAATTCAAATGTAATATTTTGTTTATTTTTAATTGTAACAATATTTATGGCCAGACTAAGTATATACATATTATTATATAAAAAGGAATGTTCGTATGTATGTTCACGTAAAACTCAAGTACCATTAGCCCAATAAATAGAAAACTTTCAACATATACAAAGGGCTACGTGACCACTCGGACGAAGATAGTTACGTTAGTGCCGGATAGGTGGAGCTGGTAGCAGTGATTTTTATCTTATGAACAAAACTATTTATGTAACTATGTATGTATATTCACTTAAAATTATCTTACGTAGTTAGCTTTGTCTTATAGTTTTTTAGCTGAATTGTCTTAGGTATTTTATGTTTTAATATAAAATTGCATTTTAGTATGAGCGAAACCGCGGTGCAGCTAGCATTTAAGATTTTATATCCAATACTTACTCAACAGCCTTGGTATTGTGATATATTAAGCGTTATACAACAGCAGTTCGCCATAGAGTCGTATTGACATAGATGATTGATTCTGGTACCCGCTTAAGATAAGATAGGTCATTTGCTGACCATCTATACTAGTAACAATATAATATTAGATTCATCTAACCCGATATTAATTCCGATCACATATCTCACTAATCATAGAATATGATTTCAGAGCTGGTGCAGAATATAGTACAGAAAACGAGCCTAAAAGAAACCATCACAACATAGTTCCTTATAGCGATGATGCTATTGGGCCCATAGAATCTCAAAATTATAGTAAGTTTAATACTCTAAATATATTTTAATCTTAATCTGAAATATGCAATACAGTTAAATGGTAAATTAATATATGCATGTAATAAAGGCTTGAGGAAGTTGAAAAGTGTGTATTGATATTGTTTATAGATCTTATTAATTTTTTTCAGGTCATCTCGATTCTTCGGAGAAAGTCCGTGGTTTTAAACTTCTCAAAAATCATATAAAAGCAATGTTTTTGAAGTTAGCATACAACACTATGAGGAATAAACTGGTGGCTTTTATACAATTTGTGAGCCCCGTGATCAATATAATACTTTCTGTTATAATTTCGAGGTCCTGGAAGTTCCTTTCGCAACTACCCCCACTAACGCTTCGTTTGGAGAGTGGATTTAAAACCACTCAAACTCTAATATCACAAAGTCTTAATATAACAGAAGAGAGCACAGAAGCCAGAGCTCTGAAGGCCTATAAAAACTACTTTAAGCTCTCCACTTATCCTGGAATGACTTTGACGGACATTGGTACAATGGACATGGGAAAATTTTACTTGAAGTTGGTAAGAACTTATTACTATTATATTAAAGACGAAGGAACTGATGGAGCTTTTGTAGCTTTATTTGTTTGTTCGTGGTCTGTGCGTTGGTCCTTCATTTATCAACTTGAATTACAACCTCGTAGCCGTATACAAGTAGGTTTGTTTTATTAGTCCAGACCAGTAAAAGTAAAGCCCATCTTTTGTCATCATCTAAAGGAGTACAGACGTAACAAATATAAATTACATCTTGTTAAGTAATAAAGCTATAATCCACTAACCCACAGACACAGCCCACTGAGTTTCTCGCCGGATCTTCTCAGTGGGTCGCGTTTCCGATCCGGTGGTAGATTCTGCGAAGCACTGCTCTTGCTAGGGTCAGTGTTAGCAACTCTCCGGTTGAGCCCCGCGAGCTCACCTACAAACGTTAGGGTGAAGCTGAAATAGCCTCTCAAGGCTATCAGCATAGGAAAAAAAAAAAAATAAAAAAAAAAATCTATACGTTTTATATCTACAACCTATTCTTGTTGTTGAATTATTTGTAGCTTGAGGAAAATTTACAATTTAAGACTTGTGTACCAACATTATAAATTTTGTTTAATTTACATTACCCTAAGCCCTTAACCACACTACTGCTCGCTTCCTAAGTGAAACCCAAGAATTTTGTTTTTAATTTTATCACTTATTAGAAAACTCGCTTAAATTTTATACTAGCGACCCGCCCTCGCTTCGCTTCGGAAACATTAAATTTTATTATTGATAGGAGAGTCCCACCATGTTGCGCGCGGTACGACAATAACTGCGGGTGACGCCGCGAGGCGAAGCTAGTCTAAAAACAGTAGCCTCAGTTACTCCTTATATCATCAGCTACATATTAGTCTCATCAAAATCGGTCCAGCCGTTCCGATTAGCCGGAACAAACAGACAGACAGACAGACAAAAATTGTAAAAAATGTTATTTTGGTGTATGTACCGTATATATATTCATATGCATGTAGTAAAAAGCGGATATTTCAATATTACAAACAGACACTCTAATTTTATTTATATGTATAGATTAAAGTCAGTACAGAGTAGTTGATGGCTAATTATAAATTTTCACAATTAGATTATAACATCGTGTCATAAAAATCGATGCCGCAGCAATTGCAATTTACTTATTTACTATACAATTGAGATAATAGACCTCAAGCCTCAAGGTGTGTGGCGGCATTCACGTTGTGCTGTCTATCAGCTTCAGTAACCGCTTAACACCAGGCCGAGAACTCACTAATTCGTCTGCCCTAAAAAGGACAATAAGGAATCAAGTTCCACGTCCTTCTATGATCGCTTCTACATGATCCGTCCGTAATAATATTCCTATCTTTTAATTTAAGCTACTTCCTCACTAATCCCTATCTTGAATTCACAATCCGAGAGCTCTAATTTGTAAGGAGACTTGACGTTAGATGTTTGGTGTTTATTTATTTCGAACATAATTTATTTAATTTCAGAGTGATTCCGATCTTCCTCGCGTAAAATACGAAACATTGGTCGGCGCTACATTTGGCCAAAACAAAATAACTGCTTGGTTCAGTAATTACGGCTACCACGATTCTGCTATCTCGCTCGCACTTGTGAATGACGCCATACTGCGTGCGCTGTCGCCTGGAAGTTCCCTGAGAATCGTCAACTTTCCACTGCCGTATTCGATAGAAAACCTGGTAAAATTAAATCTTTATTTTATTAAAGTTTAACACTAAAGCAAATTGTTAATGTTAACCCACCTAATGAGAATGATTTATATTAATAGCTCATTGGGACCAAAGTAACTACTGGTTTTTTTAGTATTATATTTAAAATAAAAGTAATCTTAAAATTAAATCAACAGTAATCCGCCTACTGATCTAAATTTCCAGTGTTAAAAAAGGTTTATAGAAAATGATTTCAGAAGTAAGGGCTTGCATTTTATACTGAACTGAAAACACTGGATTGTGTACTATATATATACTGTCTACTGTGTCTGTTTCATTTCAGGTTGAAGTAATGGCTACCGGTAGCAGCATGGGATTTCAATTCGCATTTAATATTGGATTCTGTATGGCTTTCGTGACTTCGTTTCTCGTCCTTTTTTCGGTTAAAGTAAGTCGCCCAAAAAATAATTACACTAAATTTCTATGTGTCAGGGCTTTAAAAATTCAAGTCTAATAGTATAACCATGGGGCCCGGGTTCGATCTTTTTAAATTGTATTTAGTGTTTGAGGTCTAAATGTACGTGTGCTTGTTTCGTTTATGTATTTCCGATACCCACAAACTTAAAAGGAAATCCTAGTTTGGATACATTGAACGTTTAACTTCGTCTTTTTTTCTTCCTATGCTGATAGCCTTGAGAGGCTATTTCAGCTTCACCCTAACATGTAGGTGAGCTCACGGGGCTCAAACCGGAAGTGTTGCTAACTAACACATGGTCACAGCCCACTGAGTTTCTAGCCGGATCGTTTCAGTGAGTCGCGATTCCGATCCGGTATTAGATTCAGTGAAGCCACTACTCTTGCCAAAGCTAGTGTTAGCAAACTCTCTCAGGTTCAGCGCATGAGCTCACTTATCCGTCCGGGCATAGCTGGAATAGCCTCTTAGCGAATAGGTAGGGGGAAAAAAGGTGATGTTTAAAATCGGGTGGGTTGAGCAGGAGCGGCGCAGCGGGGCCAAGCTCTTGCAGCGCGTGTCGGGCGTGCGGCCGGCCGTTCTGTGGCTCAGCGCGCTCGTGTGGGACTGGCTGTGGCTGTTCCTCATCTACTTGTGTATTGTCTTTACTCTGGCTTGTTTCCACGAGAAGACGCTCTCCACGCCCCAGGAATTGGGTGAGAGTCGGTTTGGTGATATCACGCTGTCCTACCTTAATTTGTGTATATCATGTGTTATGTTTAACCCGTATACTACGACTGTGTATGTGTGTTTTATTTTGTCTACTTCTTACTGTTTGAACTCAAACACGACTCCTTAAGGGTAGGCACTGCCAATTGCTGAAAGCATTTAAGTGACATCGACCACCTACGACGAGAAGCACCGCCCGCTGGCTCATATGGTATAAACAATATGAGCTCCGATGTCGCGTATTCGTAAACAATAAGTATTAGAACAGCGTGTTCAAACATGCCTCGGTGTACCCATTATATCTCTAAGACTGACTCCAAGAAGCCGGGAACCCCGGTGCAAGGGGTGGGGGAAAGCAAATTTTAAGTTAACATTCAGCTTGATTACAGCATTAAGTTCAAACCACACTTTNGCTCATATGGTATAAACAATATGAGCTCCGATGTCGCGTATTCGTAAACAATAAGTATTAGAACAGCGTGTTCAAACATGCCTCGGTGTACCCATTATATCTCTAAGACTGACTCCAAGAAGCCGGGAACCCCGGTGCAAGGGGTGGGGGAAAGCAAATTTTAAGTTAACATTCAGCTTGATTACAGCATTAAGTTCAAACCACACTTTTTTATAATGAACTGGCGACATTTCAGTTTTTATAGCATATTTAACGTAAACTAGTGTGTTTATGTTCACGATAGACGAGTAATTAATCTTTTTAGCTTATTATTTCTGGCCTAAGATAAGAGGTTCTTATATTCATTATTGCATTTTCATTATAGCATTATTGATTGCCCGCTGATATTGAATGATCAGCGGAACCTATAGACATTGCGACTCGAATGCCGCCCACCCTAAGATATGAAGTCAAAGTCTCAATTGTCTTGTAGAAATGTTCTCCCGCCCGACTGAAACAGGCATTATGGTGGTGGTATAACCATAAAACACACCGTACAACTACCACCACTGAATACGATCGGAATACGCGGGTATTATATTTAGAAAACACTGCTTCCCGTGCAATGTGATTTTCGTGCTTTTTTCTTGCGTATCACATGACCTACTATTTACAAGCGGACTAGCTGTACCCGTTCGCTTCGCTGGGCATTTAAAATTAACATTATTATTTCTCACCCCCACAAAGATTCTCGTCATTAACGCCCCCGCAACTGGTGTAGAGAGTCCAACACTCATATAAATATTAGCCTATCCGTTAAGTACATGTATTTTCTACATGGATACCAAATTTCAAGTCAATTGGATGCATGGTTATAACGGAACATCCGTAAAAACCACTGTAGATTTGTATATTAGTACTAGCTGAGCCGGCAGACTTTGTAGTGCCTCAATCGATAAATAAAAGACACATAAAGAGGACACATGAAAGGAATAACAAAATTGTTTGTTTTTATATAATTCCAAGCTTTTTTATATTTTCTCACCCCTTAAATCTTCCCTGGAGTTCCACGAATAATTCAAGACCAAAATTAGCCAAATCGGTCCAGCCGTTCTCGAGTTTTAGCGAGACTAACGAACAGCAATTCATTTTTATATATACAGCAATTAATTTTTTATATATAGATAAATATGAAAGACTTAAATAATATTTATGTGCAGGGCGGGTGTTACTAGTTCTCGTAGTGTTTTCACTGGCAATAATACCAATACACTATCTGGCATCATTCTACTTTGACTCTGCTGCGACTGGATTTTCGAAAATGTGCTTCGTCAACGTATTCAGTGGTAAGTATAAAATGTTTGATCTACCTACTTATCTTTGAAATAACAGATCAGAGAATTTTATTAATAGCTTATAAAGTTCAACTATTCTTCAGCTTATACATCTAAGCGACGCCGAAAACATCTGCTACTAAATTCTCATATTAAACAAAATTGTAATGTAAGAAATAAATTATGTATAAGTGAAAAAAATACTTTTAGGTTGTATGCCGTTTTTAATTACCGAAGTATTAAGATTACCACAAGTCGGAAGTCCTTTTTATGCACATCTGTTTGATTGGATTTTTTCGCCGCTACCCATTTATTGTATCAGCCGGAGTTTCAGGTAATTTTTCCTAATTCGATCAATGAATATGCTGTACACTACGATTATTGTTCAACTTTACATTTATTTTCTACCGTAATTGAGGGAGAAGGTGTGCTGAATATTCATTCTAACGGCCGTCTGGTGTAGTGGTAAGTGACATGGTCACTACACAAGGGGGTCGCGGGTTCGAACCCCGCCAAGGGAAGATATTTGTATGACAAATATAAATGTCTTTTCTAGGGTTATGGATGTATATTAAAATATATGTATGTGTATAATAAAAATCTTACATTTATATCCGTTATCTGGTACCTGTAACACAAGTTCTTTACAAACTTATACTATATACTATACTACGTGGCGTGATTGTTAGAAAATATTTATTTATTTATAAATCATTTTTTATTACGTTTTTGTGTGATTATCTGAATCGATCGATAGCCTTTAGTGAGCGCACAAAACTAAAGAGTTGGTGAATTTTAATTAGTTCAAGAGAGTAATAAGATAATAGACTTCATTTCTCTTATCACATGACCCACACACACACACGTACAGTCGCTGCGCGGTCAGTCAATCCGTAGCTAAAGTTATACGACAGATGATTTACTCTCATAAAAACACACATTTTATTTCATAATACTTTATGATGATATTTGTTAGGTTAATATTTTTCTCTTTGCATACAGAGACATGAGTGTATCGTCATTTTCATTGTTGGCCTGCGAAGGCCTCTGCGACCAATTACGTATTGAGAATTGCACACGACACACAATATGCAACCAGCTCAACCTTACCGTGTGTTGTAGTAAGTGAGCCTTGTGAGTGCGTGTTGTGATGCTTTCTATGTCTCTTCTATGTAGTTAGTCGTTTTATTCCTTCAAAACTTAAGACGATCGTACGAAACTATAGCGGTGATGGTATTGAACACAAAACTCAAAAAATAATTCTCTTCTTTTTTGTTTTTCTGTAGTATTGGAAATTAATATGTAGTTTCTAATATCATTTTTTTTTTACCTTAATGCTATTAATCAATGTTATTGCTGAATTATACTATAAAATACATTTTCATACATAGTTTAGCACTTTATTTTTCTTCGTAATTTTTTAAATCACTGAACACAACTAATTTTAATACATTTCAATTTCTGCTTAAATTCGAACGAATAAAATATGAAATTTAAATTATTTTCCAGTTGAAGACGATCCTTTTATGAAATGGAGCGAACCTGGAATCGGAAGATACTTGTTTACTATGTTCGCTGTCGGTACAGTAACGTTCAGCATACTACTCGTGAAGGAATATGAACTTCTTGCCAAGGTCTACATAGCTTTACGTTTTTTTTTATTGCCTTTATAGGCAGATTAGCTTTTGCCCGCGACTCCGCCCGCGTGGAATAACTGGTGGTAGGATCTCTTGTGAGTCCGCGCGGATAGGTACCACCACCCTCCCTATTTCCGCCGTGAAGCAGTAATGCGTTTCGGTTTGAAGGGTGGGGCAGCCGTTGTAACTAGCTATACTGAGACCTTAGAACTTATATCTCAAAGTGGGTGGGGCATTTACGTCGTAGATGTCTATGGGCACCAGTAACCACTTAACAGCAGGTCGGCTGTGAGCTCGTCCACCCATCTAAGCTACAAAAATAATAATTGCGGCGTCATGACAAAAGGGGCCTTCGCAGTGAACGCCCAAACTTGTGTCTTCAATGGGTTGAACTGAACAGAATTTAGTTCACCCCACTCTGACCACCGGCCACGTTCCGAGAAAGACTCTGATGGCCGATATATCGCGTATCCGCGGTGTTATCATCCGAATGACATGTATGACATCAATAGATAGCATCTCATTGATATGGAGAACGAAACGTGTGTGGGAGAGCACTGAACCTTGTGGGATGCCAACTTTGATGATGATGATATCGGAGCAGCAGCCATCGATGACGTGTGTGATGTTTCATACATTTAAAAAGCTCGCGATCCACTTGCAGAGCTCCTCGGGGACTCCGTAAGCTAGAAGATTCGATAGAAGTGTCCTATGCCAACCCTATCGAAGGTCTTCGCGACTTTAAGGCTAACAGTGAGAGCCTCGCCTTGCAACCCAATCCTTCAACCTGTCGATGTCTGAAGTATACAAGAAGATTGCCAGCTGAGCGACTGTATGGGAAGCCATCCTGCCGGTCACTGATCAGCTGGCGATCCGCAAGCTTGGCGGTCTTCAAATCGAGGGGTCTGACCGATCACCCTTCTTGGGGATAGGGTGGACATGGGCGGCCTTTCATGAAGACGGAACCCTGTTGGTACTGAACGAGAGGCGATACAGACGCGTTAGTGTAGTTATCAATTCAAAGGCGCATGTTTTTAGAACCACTCCGGGAATGCACTTAGGCCCACTCGCACCTTATCTTCTTTAGCCTTAGCCTTATCCAGCGCCCAGAAAGCACGGCTCCAGGAGAGATAGCTCTTTGGTCGCTCGCCAATTCCGGCAACGTGCTCTGACTTTTGTCAAGTCATAATTATTTTTGGTTGAAGAGTAAGGATTCGGAGAGGTAGGATGCCAGAGGTGAGAACAAGGCAATACCTGAATAAAGCGCCAGGCGCAATGAATAGTCGAAAAGGGGATGCGCGAGGAGCTGGTGCAGAGCATGCAAGGACCCCCAATCCACCCTGCATACGATCGCCGAAATGAGTGGATTTCGGTCTTCGACTCCGGCACAACAACTGGGGTAGAGTTTAATAGTAACACCCAGATTCAAGTCATCTACTGACCCGTGGGCGGCGGCGGAGACCATTGTACTGGATCACCCTATACCCCCTCAAAAGGCGCCGAAAGGCAACCATTCGCTAGCCATTCGGACAAGGTTCTATCAACGGATGAATTTTTTTTCTGTCAATTAACGTACATTAAAGATATTTCTTGGTTTTAACTGACAGTTAATGTTGTAGCTCATGTACAAACCTCGTGATAAAATGTCGCAAACGAAAACCTCTGTAGAGGAGGCAGTCGAAGACGATGACGTCGCCACGGAGAGACGGCGCGTACTGGCATTGTCGCGTAATGAGGTCACCGCGTTCAGCCTCGTGTGTCGCGAGCTGAGCAAGCGCTACCGGCGCCTCGTAGCCGTCGACCGACTCACGTTCGCGGTGCGCGGCGGAGAGTGCTTCGGCCTGCTCGGAGTCAACGGCGCCGGCAAGACCAGCACCTTCCGCATGCTGACCGGCGACGCACGCGTGTCGGACGGCGACGCGCTCGTGCACGGACACTCGGTGCGAGCACATGTGCAGGACGTGCACCGCCTCATTGGTGAGTCGACCCTATTACATATCAGCTCGGTCCGCATGCTGACCGGCGACGCACTCGTGTCGGACGGCGACGCGCTCATGCACGGACACTCGGTGCGAGCACACGTGCAGGACGTGCACCGCCTCATTGGTGAGTCGACCCTATTACACATCAGCTCGGTCAATATGCTGACCGGCGACGCACGCGTGTCGGACGGCGACGCGCTCGTGCACGGACACTCGGTGCGAGCACACGTGCAGGACGTGCACCGCCTCATTGGTGAGTCGACCCTATTACATCAGCTCGGCCCGCATGCTGACTGGCGACGCACATGTGTCGGACGGAGACGCGCTCGTTCACGGACACTCGGTGCGAGCACACGTGCAGGACGTGCACCGCCTCATTGGTGAGTCGACCCTATTACACATCAGCTCGGTCCATATGCTGACCGGCGACGCACGCGTGTCGGACGGCGACGCGCTCGCGCACGGACACTCGGTGCGAGCACACGTGCAGGACGTGCACCGCCTCATTGGTGAGTCGACCCTATTACATCAGCTCGGCCCGCATGCTGACCGGCGACGCACATGTGTCGGACGGAGACGCGCTCGTGCACGGACACTCGGTGCGAGCACACGTGCAGGACGTGCACCGCCTCATTGGTGAGTCGACCCTATTACACATCAGCTCGGTCCATATGCTGACCGGCGACGCACGCGTGTCGGACGGCGACGCGCTCGTGCACGGACACTCGGTGCGAGCACACGAGCAGGACGTGCACCGCCTCATTGGTGAGTCGACCCTATTACATCATCTCGGCCCGCATGCTGACCGGCGACGCACATGTGTCGGACGGAGACGCGCTCGTGCACGGACACTCGGTGCGAGCACACGTGCAGGACGTGCACCGCCTCATTGGTGAGTCGACCCTATTACATCATCTCGGCCCGCATGCTGACCGGCGACGCGCTCGTGCACGGACACTCGGTGCGAGCACACATGCAGGACGTGCACCGCCTCATTGGTGAGTCGACCCTATTACATCAGCTCGGCCCGCATGCTGACCGGCGACGCACATGTGTCAGACGGAGACGCGCTCGTGCACGCACACTCGGTGCGAGCACACGTGCAGGATGTACACCGCCTTATTGGTGAGTCGACCCTACCACACTACCACATTACGCAAGTCGAACTGTAACAGCTATTATAATACAAAACTATTTGTGAATACAACTCATTTATTCTCCAGTATCCTAATTTTGCTCACAGGTTATTGCCCCCAGTTCGACGCATTATTCGATAACCTTACTGCGAGAGAGACCCTCCAGATCTTTTGTTTGTTACGCGGTATACCTCAGCGAGTTGGTGATGTACTTGCTCATCGTCTCGCTGTTGAACTGGGATTTGTCGTACACTACGATAAAAAGGTAACGTTCCCAAAAGTATATTCATAGTACAGTTACAATAAATATTTAACAATAATATAAAATACCCTTTCGAATATATTTTTGTGACGTTGACATCAATTAAGAGCTCTCAAACTAAAATTGTACTTTCACTTACTATACGACGTGGAGTAATAGTTTGAAACTTCAATAGGTTCATGAGTGCAGCGGTGGAACAAAAAGAAAAATAAGTACTGCTGTAGCTTTGTTAAGCGCTTCGTCGTTAGTTTTCCTGGATGAACCAACAACAGGTAACGTTTGACTTTGTCTCAAGACGGCATTGCACATTGATGTCGTATTCATCAAAACTTAAAGGCAAGGGGCACTTTTTGTGAAGAAATAATTTAAATTTAAATCGTTATCCCATTGATACTGATACTAATATATTTACTAAGATAAAATGGTTTAAACTTTAATTTATGATATTGAGAGAGGATAATATAACCCTTTCCCGCCAATGTAGTTTACTTTAATGGGATATATACATGTTTTGTGTGTACGTAAACATTGACGTCATTGTTCAATATAGGCTGCTCTATGTTTACCAGTAAGTTAAAATTAGATTCAGTAACTACTGTGACAATACACTGATCCTGTACGAATAAGAGTCCCTAGTTCTGTGCTTAATATAATAGTGAAATATACTATATTTTGTACTGTAGTTACACCATATTAGCTTTATAAGGAGAACAGTAATATTAAATATTATTTAGTTGATATTTTGAAATAAGTTTAAATCCATCAATAATGAAAGGCATGGATCCTGCGTCGAAGCGGCTCGTGTGGCGCGGCATCAGCAGCGCGGTGGGCGGCGGGCGCAGCGTGGTGCTGACGTCACACAGCATGGAGGAGTGCGAGGCTCTCTGCTCCAAGCTCACCGTCATGGTCAACGGCAGGCTCTGCTGTCTCGGCTCGCTGCAACATCTCAAGAGCAAATTCTCGCAGGGTAAGTCGTTTAGCGGCCGTTCAGTGATCCAAATTCTACCGTAATCCATTCAATTTGAAGTCGTCGTGGCCTAAAGGATAAGACGCCCCGACCCGTGCATTCATGTCAAGAGATGCACCGGTGTTCGAATCCCGCAGGCGGGTACCAATTTTTGTAATGAAATACGTACTTTTTTACAATTGTTCACGATTGACTTCCACGGTGAAGGAATACCATCGTGTACTAAAAATCAAACAAGATTATAATTTGCGTAATTACTGGTGGTATAGATGTAGTGAGAAATTATTTTCCTTCGGGAAAACTTGGTTCTTTATCGGAATACGATGACACCCGAACTGTCAATGAATGATCGTATTAAATGAGTGACATTTTCATATCCATTAATAGCGAACTTTATTGTTTAATGTCAAAATGAGTAATGTCATTGTATAATATAGAGATGTTATAACCATAACAATTATTACTTAAAACGGGATATTTACCAGTGTATTATACGACTTGAGCTCCCGATATTTTTAAGTAATAGTTGTTATGTTGGTGACCGTGTTAGTTTAAAATCATAATTATGTTAGAACCGCCTTCTGTAACTTTGAAAATACTCAGTTTTATTGTCTTTCGTTTTATTGTAGCTGTTCAACTTTGCCAAAATACTCTGAGTTGTTGCTATTTTTAATTTGCTATTTTCCGATATGAGGTACAGGTAAGTATTAAATATAATTCCATGGACTGGATTTTTTTACCGTTTTCGAGGTTTCAGCATGGCTATACAACCTTTTTATAAGTAATCTGAAAATATGATTAAAACTATAGCGAATATTTGAATTGCGTATTATCCACTCTATATAATAATATATAGGCCTGCTTTTGTGACTTACCCCTACGGCTCTAAGATGGGTAATGAAGCTATTTGAGAGAGCACGATAAATACGAACTTTTCCGAAAAATTGCGAAGGAAAATCATTTCTCACCATATCTATAGAACGTCTTATGAGCCCGCACGGGTAGGTTGCACCACCCTGCTTATTTCTGCCATGAAGCAGTAATGCGTTTCGGTTTAAAGGGTAGGGCAAACGTTGTAATATAAAAAAACTGAGACCTTACAAATCATGTCTCGACGTGGGTGGCGGCGTTTATGTTGTAGATATCTATGAGCTCCGATTACCACTTAAGACCAGGTGGGCCGTGACATATATAAGCTATAAAAAATACTGGAACATTGTTGAAGAAGTGCGTACGAGGGCTGCACTAAAAGTATCGGGAATGGAATATTTCCACTGTTCCTGTCATATTAAAATCTTTTTAATTGAAAACTCCTTGGTTTTAAAAATCGAATACCATTTATTTATTTAAAAAAAGATTCTCGGTCTTGTCACGAGGTTTTGTCAAACTTGTTCAGTCGTTGAGAAAATGGAATCGACTCGAGAAAATTCAAGAGTGATGATTTATTATGACTTTCGAAGTGGTTTAACACAAAAACAGTGTGTTGACCGGATGATTTCTGCATTTGGTGATGAAGCCCCATCCAAGACCACAATTTATCGCTGGTTTGCTGAGTTTCAACGTGGACGTATCAAGCTCAGTGATGATTCCCGTCAAGGTCGTCCAAAAACTGCAGTCACCCAAGAAAACGTTGATGCTGTGCGTAAGCTGATTGAGGAAGATCGACATGTGACATACCGCGAAATTCAGGCAACTTTAGACATTGGCATGAGTCAAATACAAATAATCTTGCATGAACAATTAGGTGTAAAAAAGTTGTTTTCCCGATGGATACCGCATTCGCTCTGTGAAGAGCAAAAAGCGGCTCGCGTTACTTGGTGCGTCAGAACTCTCGAAAGATTCCACGCAGGATCCTCAAATGCTGTATACAACATTGTATCAGGTGACGAATCCTGGATATACGCGTACGAACCCGAAACAAAAAACCAGTCACGAGTTTGGGTGTTCGAAAATGAGTTAAAGCCAACAAAAATTGTTCGTTCACGGAGTGTTGCAAAAAAAATGGTGGCCACGTTTGTCTCCAAAACCGGCCATGTTACGACTATTCCTCTTGAGGGACAAAGAACGGTTAATGCAGAATGGTATGCTAGCATTTGTTTGCCACAGGTCGTTTCTGAACTCCGTAAAGAGAACTGCAACCGCCGCATCATCCTCCATCACGACAATGCGAGTTCTCACACCGCGCACAGAACAAAAGAGTTTTTAGAGCAAGAAAACATAGAATTATTAGACCATCCGCCGTACAGCCCCGACCTAAGCCCTAATGATTTCTATACTTTCCCTAAAATAAAGAATAAATTGCGTGGACAGAGATTTTCATCACCTGAAGAAGCTGTGGACGCCTACAAAACGGCCATTTTGGAGACCCCAACTTCCGAATGGAATGGTTGCTTCAATGATTGGTTCCATCGTATGGAAAAATGTGTCAAATTTCGCGGAGAATACTTCGAAAAGCAATAAATACATTTTTAATTAGTAATGTTGTGTCACTTCGTTAATTCCCGAAATTTTCAGTGCCGCCCTCGTATTCCATCTCGTACGAATAAAATATAGAATCGGGATGCCATTCCTATATGCGTGCAAAGATCTTCAAATGTGCATCATATTTTTCTGCGCATCATTCATCATTATCCTGCCCTTCTCCCAGTCACCTGGGGTCGGCGCAGCATGATTTCTCCTTCCATACTCTTCTATCATATACCATTTCTTCGCTCACTCCCCTCTTACCCATATCGTCTTTCACACAATCCATCCATTTCTTCTTAGGTCTACCTCTTCCTTTATATCCTTCCACATTCATAGTTAACACTCTCTTACCAACCTCATTTTCATTTCGTCTCATCACATGTCCATACCATCCCAAACTCGCACTCCTCAGCTTCTCTGTCACAGGTGCCACTTTCAGACTTCCTCTAACATATTCATTCCGCATTGATTTCTGCGCATATTAATATTTTATTATTATTCACTTTTTGACACCTTAAGTTTTCCAAAACTGAAGTTCGTCCGTACTCTCAAAGTGTTAAATAGGTGTTCATTTTTGTTTCATACATTATACATATATCTTCATACAAATAATAATTATAAAATTATTATTATTATAAACGTGTCATTCTCAAATTGATTCCAAGCAATTTCAAGTGCACATGCGGCGAAAAGCCATAATACCAAACGTTTAAAAAGGCACCGGGATTTCATTTCCAAAATCAGAGGTACAGAATCATCTACTAAAGAAAGGAAATCAATTTACATGCCATTCACTTTTATAGGCAAAGTTGAAAATACTATTTTCTATTCACGTTTTCCATTGTAAATACAAATCAAACAAAGAAAAACTCCTACAAAATTTACCTCGTATAGACGAATAAGTCTTCTCCCGGTGATACAGAAACAGTCCGAAGAAACAATGGCAGGACCTTTTGTGAGTCCGCACGGGTAGGTACCACCGCCCCGCCTATTTCTGCCGTGAAGCAGTAATTCGTTTCGGTTTGAAGGGTGGGGCAGCCGTTGTGACTATACTGAGACCTTAGAACTATATCTCAACGTCTATGGGCTCCAGTAACCACTTAACACCAGGTGGACTGTGAGCTCGTCCCCACATCTAAGCTATAAAAAAAAAAAACAATCTTGCAACGTCTACTACTCGTATTCGAAAAGCTAAAGAGACTTAAATAGTCAATAATATTATGGATATTATTATGGATTTCGTACACCCAAGAAAACCATATAACGCCGTGTATGTACAAATTAATTATTCACATTTCTTTTGAATCATATATGTATTTCTCGCTCATTCCTTATTTTACTCGCCTGCCTAACCTGCGATGATTTCGAAATTTAAAAAAAATCCTTTTTTCTCCTACCTACGCCGAAAATTCGGTTTTCGTCCCGCTGTACAGGGAAGAAAGTGTAACTTTTCCTCCCTTTGTAGGAAGAAAGTGTAACTTTTCCTCCCTTTGTACAGGGAAGAAAGTGTAACTTTTCCTCCCTTTGTACAGGGAAGAAAGTGTAACTTTTCCTCCCGCTGTACAGGGAAGAAAGTGTAACTTTTTCTCCCTGGGTACAACTGCGCATGCGCGTTAGTGTTTACGTCTGCTCTCACGCACCTAGTGAAATAAACAAAAGGCAATAAAATTTAATAGTGCAGTATTAAACAAAGATGAGTTCATCAAACAGTTCTTGTTCAATTAGTAGTAGTTTATTTAAAAATTAAAAAACAGTTAAATTGATTTTTTTTAGAAGTACGGGGGGGCTCCGCCCCCCCTTCCCCGGCCAGGGCTTCGCCCCTGGACCCCGGCTCGGTACTCCACGAACTTTCGGCCTGGTAGGAGAAAAAATAGTATATGCACCGCGGGAGAAAAGTTGGACATTTCCTCCCGCGTGTTTGGCAAACACGCGGGAGGAAATGTCCAACTTTTCTCCCTTGGTGCACAATGTACTATTTCTAATGAAAGTATTGAGTGAAATTTTGTTTGTATGTATACTTAGTCTGGCCATAAATACTGTTACAATTAAAAATAAACAAAATATTACATTTGAATTTGGAATCTGTCATTTTTATATGATTGCTAATTGATTTTTCTCATTTTGGCGCCAATACATTGTACAATATTTTGCGATATTAAAATGGAGTGGGGTGATAAATAGAACCGAATCGCTGTGATTGCATTACACAAAGTAGGTATGGAGCCAAATGCAATTTTTAAAACTCTCCATACGCTTGGTATTAGTAAAATGTTTGTGTACCGGGCTATTAATAGGTGCAATGAGACCTCCTCTGCTTGTGACAGAAAAAGATCTGGCCGTCCACGTAGTGTTCGTACGAAAAAGGTGGTCAAAGCAGTAAGGGAAAGAATTCGAAGAAATCCTGTCCGAAAGCAAAAGATTTTATCTCGGGAGATGAAGATAGCACCTAGAACCATGTCGCGTATTTTAAAAGATGACCTAGGACTTGCAGCCTATAAGAGAGGTACTGGTCATTTCTTAACTGATATTTTAAAAGAGAATAGGGTAGTAAAATCGAAACATCTACTGAAGCGGTACGCAAAGGGAGGTCATAGAAATATTTTGTTTACGGATGAGAAAATTTTTACAATTGAGCAACATTTTAACAAACAAAATGACCGTATTTATGCTCAAAGCTCTAAGGAAGCTTCCCATTTAGTCGACAGAGTGCAACGTGGGCACTATCCGACTTCAGTGATGGTTTGGTGGGGTATTAGCTATGAAACTGTGACTGAGCCATACTTTTGTGAAAAAGGTATCAAAACATCGGCACAAGTGTATCAAGATACCATTCTTGAGAAGGTAGTGAAGCCCCTTAATAACACCATGTTCAATAATCAAGAATGGTCCTTCCAGCAAGACTCGGCGCCAGGTCATAAAGCTCGGTCTACGCAGTTTTGGTTGGAAACGAACGTTTCGGACTTCATCAGAGCTGAAGACTGGCCGTCGTCTAGTCCCGATCTTAATTCGCTGGATTATGATTTATGGTCAGTTTTAGAGAATACGGCTTGCTCTAAACGCCATGATAATTTGGAGTCCCTAAAACAATCCGTACGATTGGCAGTGAAAAATTTTCCCATGGAAAGAGTGCGTGCTTTTATTGGTAACTGGCCTCAACGTTTAAAGGACTGTATTGCAGCCAATGGAGACCACTTCGAATAAGCTTTTTATACTTTAAATTGTTTTATATTTATGTATTAAACTAACACACTGTAAAAGTAAGAAATGTTATTTGCCATAGAGTTTTTTTTTGTTTTCCTTTGTAACAGTATTTATGGCCAGACTAGGTATTTTACGAAATCTACATATTTGATTTCATTACTCCGATTTCTTATACAATTTCCGGGACACATAGTATAGTACAAATTATTTCCAGATTATAACCTATATTATAACCCCAAAAGCTAGGTTGACGAAGCTTATAAAATTACTTCATTAGTTTTTCTGTTCCAGGCTATACGATTGTTATTAAATGTCGATCGGGAACTGACAGGGATAGCGATATCACACGCATCGACCAATATATGAAGAAAAATTTCAATGAAGTTAAACTCGTGTAAGTATTTCTTTAACACAGCACACAGAACAAAATCACCTAAAAGTAATGGGCTGTACTCTGTTACAAAGAAGGGGTACAATAGTGGTAACGTTGTGTTCCCAGCGAGACGTACCTGGGCATGAGCACGTACCACGTGTCGTCGGCGGGGCTGCCGTGGTGGCGCGTGTTCAGTGCGCTCGAACTAGCACTGTTTAATGAATGTGCAGTTAGTTGCATCACGTAGAGTGAGGGGGTACAATAGTGGTAACGTTGTGTTCCCAGCGAGACGTACCTGGGCATGAGCACGTACCACGTGTCGTCGGCGGGGCTGCCGTGGTGGCGCGTGTTCAGTGCGCTCGAACTAGCGCGGGACTCGCTGCCGCTTGATGACTACTCGGTCGCGCAGACAACACTCGAGCAAGTTTTTCTCGCATTTACAAACCAACAGCGTTCACTAGATTAATTTATTTTTTCAATCAATACAAAACATTATGGTTGTGTAACCAACTTACCAAATTAATTGTTATCAGCTTCATAAATAGTTTATAAGAAAGTCTCAAGAGAGAAGACTTGTAGCATGGTACTGTAATTATATCTTAAGCAGCTTATTAGACACTAAAATCCTATAATATACAGGTGCGGGTTATTTTTCATAAAATAGAAACGGGGTATACAAAGAAATGTACGTACCTTTCTATAATTAGTAACAATAACATATTTTTTTCAAGTAATGGGCCTGACAATCGTAATATCATTATTGGATTAATTACTGATAAAAATACATTTGAAAATTCGTGTATTAAGAACAATGAACTCGTTGGACGTGGAGTAAACATTTTACTTCTATCGAATTTATTCTGATGCTGTAGCAAAGGTTATCTATCGGGCCTTTTGCAAAATCTTTTGTTATTTTGTAATTTTGTTGTCATAACTTGCCATACAGAGTACAAAAAAAACTTTCTCCGTTCCGTGGTGGAATTTTTATAATCGATTTAGGATCTTTAAAAGGCCAAATAGTACTTATCCATTTTCAAACAGGATGTCTTATCGAATTTCTCATATTGAATAAAAAAAAATTATATCAAATATTTTTACAGGTCGGTTCTGTTAATATCTATCTGTCCACTCGACATATGGTTACTTGGTATGTTAGATGTTTTGAAATCCCCTGAATATATAGAACTGTTAATTGGTGGCAAGTTGTTATTTTTTTTAACAGTTCTGAAAAAAGGCATTATTGTTTGTCACAAATCTTAATCGTCCATCGATAATAACATTAATAACAGAGACAGAGATTTCCGAAAAATCTTTTCGATTTGTCTATATTAAATTTTAACAATTAAGGATTTCGATTTTTTTAATTCAAATTAACGCAGACAATCTCTACCCAGCATTGATTGTTAAGAATTACTAATAACAGTACTGGCAATACAGATTTACATGTCATCGTATTTATTTATCTTGGGTAAGTGAACTGGGGAATTCCCCTTTTATATCCGACTTTGTCGATTAAACTGTACCCAATAGACTTTTATAAATATTTTTTTAACAAAAATATAGACTACCGTTATTATTATGAGTAACTACATGTTTAAGTAAATTAACAATGGATGAATTTTCGTAAATTGATAGATAACTCATCTGTTTAGAATCACAATAAATGCTCAAATAACAAAGTATAAGATATAACGCTTGGGTGCTATTCACAAAAACACATCATAAAGAATAATTTAAAAACAGATCCTGACCTCGTTTCCTGAAAGGAACTTAAATGAACCAATATACAATTCATCTTGATTGAAATTAGGCTAAATGAGACTGTGGTACGATGTTTATTGACTAATCATCTTCAATTAGTACAATAGAGTCAGAAATTAATTATGTATGTATTTGACATCCTAGCCATAATTAATACTACAGTTTAATCTCACGTTTTGTATCGTCATTAAATTATTTCCGACCTTCCGAATACGTTAAAGTTTTCGTGGTCACTGACGAATAAGATATTATTCGTCGATATTTGAATGTTAAGCAGACTGACTAAAAGTAGTCTTAATTATGACTACGATTTGTGAAAACCGAAGAAAATCCGAGAAATAATTTGTTTTACTGACATAACTATAATATAATATTTTCAATATACAGACTCTTTAGTAAGATTTTAATTATAGTAGATACAGATTATTTATCAGAACTTTTACAAGTAATACTGAATTTATTATTTTTAATTACATTCATAATATATGTAGTTAAGATATTAATAGTACGTACAGCTCGACCAAGCTAAGTGTGCACCTCGCATCGATTACGTCACACTGCCACTTAGGTATGGTCTGAAAAAAGGATTCGCTATGACTTTAAAAATGTAAACAAATGTTTGTTATATTTTACTTTGCATTTATTGTTTTTAACAATATATTGTCCATAGGTACATTAGAATATAGCGAAATCGTGTTTTTGTATTAAGACTACCCGGGCATTCTTGCACTTTTTAAATTTGTATCCCAATTGCTCGGTAATAATTTTCCTTTATGTTTCTTTTTCAGGATTATGTTTCTCCCTTCACTGTGTATCACCTTTCCTTTCCTTTCATTTTGTTGCCCATTGCTCGAAGTAAAAAAAATGAACGTTATCCGTTCAGGTAACAACAGTTCAACAAAAACTTAACAAAAATAGTCCAATAATATAACTAAACTTCAACAAAAAACCTAACAAGAACAGTTAAATAAAGAAGTTTCACTTCAAAAATTTAAAATTCAACGTATAGGGAGACGAAAACTCGTATGACGCGTGTCGGCGACAAAGACGCTAACCGTACTGACACGAAAGGACGATCGCGGGAAGGTGAGCGGGGAAGCGGGCGGACCGCCGCATTCCAGCGAGGTGCAAACTTAGCTTGGTCGAGTTGTATGTGCTTATTTTGTGTGTTTTTGCTTCGCTCAACAATAAGTTTATTAATTGATCGAATATGGTAGGAATCTCTTATTATTAATCTAATCTTGCCACATCTGTGTATCCAGTCAGACTGTTGTGATAATATTATGTTGTAAGTATATACCTCCTATAAAATTATATTAAAGAATAAAATAACAATTCAATGTTTCAAATTAAAATATTAAAATGGTAAAATTTGTTTTATTATTTGACCATACAAATTAACTACTTTGCTTGATATCCTTCCGGGATTATACTGGTACTGGGACACAGTATGAGCCTGCATTGGTATCACCACACTGTCTATTCTTGCTAGAACGAACAATATTTTTTAAGACTTTTTACTTATTACATCGTATTAAAATTTTCGGCATTGTATACAAAACACAGTTATTCGACCTGACAATTTTGATTTAAGTCCAAAAAAGGCAATCTCTGCGGTTCTAATTGTATCCGTAATGTGCGTATTCTATCTATAAAAACTACAAAACAAATATGAGATCAGAATACCAGCTTTTAGCGATACACCGGACATATTCGAGCCATTAGCTAACATCCTTTTTTTTCCCTACCTATGCTGATAGCCTTGAGACATCACTGCTCTTACACTTTACAAAAACGTCAAAATTTATATTTTTCTGTAGTGTTCTATTGTGGAACTGTGTGGAACCATAACAATCAAAAAGTAAAATTGTGACATTTGAAATATCGACTTAATTTAAGAGAAACCTACATACAACTGAGAGTATGAGGGATATGATGATGAATCGAATCTCTTAGATAAAGATAATAAATGTGAATTTGTTCCAAGCCTTGACCGCTGGCAATACCAATAATACCAAATCGACAATCGGAGCAGGGAGCCAAAGATTGCTGAACCCACACGTCCTTACGGATCCATCAGATCCAATAACCTTTGCATTAGACGCCTTCAGCTCTAACACTAGGAGCAGGCTTAGGGACCCCGGTAACCGTACTCGTCGAACTCGACAAAGAGTTCGCCGTGCCACCTAACCCATGAATCAGCTCGCTGAGTTTCTCGCCGGATCTTCTCAGCGGGTCGCGATTCCGATCCGGTAGTAGATTCATTCGCGAAGCAGCTACTCTTGAGCTGTTAGGTCTCCTTCGGAGGCGCTCGGGTAGCTGTTAGCAAATCCCACCCCTCCTGGCTGAGCGTTTGCTCGCCCACCTGCCCTGGTGAAACTGGAAAAGCCTCCGGGCCACCAGTAATCCTTCAATCATAAAAAAAAAAAAGATTGCTGAACTGCAGAACGAACATACGAGTACGGAGGTGAACGAGTTCATTTATGTCACCTAAAGGGAGCGGTTCATCGGAACGAATCACTCACCAGTTATACAAGTCTGTACATACGGTACCTACGGCAATTAATTATAAGAGTTAACCTAAAGGTTGTAAATTCTTCTTCTCAGTCGTACACTCCTGGCGGAGTGGTCGTGGTTACGTTTGTTGTTAATGTTTGGTTGCGGCTTTCGAGAGGCTTCTCCATCTCTCTCTATTTGTGGCGGTACGTGTACACTCAGTAAGGGAACACTTCGTAGATAACTTAACCAAGTCTGTCCACCTTGTGGATGATCGGCCGCGAGAGCGTTGACCGTCTACTCTTCCTTGAACCACTAAACGTTCCAATGAGCTTTCATTACGAATGATATATCCAAACATATAAAGGATTCGCAATTGCACAATCGACGAAAGCCTTTGTTTGAATCGGAGCTCTTTGAGGATGGATACATTATTGATGGTATTATTAAGGTTGTAAATACCGGGTCATAAAATCCAAAAAAAATATATGTCGTTATGACATTTAAATTACGATGAAACAAATTGTATTTTTTCAATTCGAATCGATCGAATTAAAATTTGTCTTGATTCGAATCGCAATTCGAATTATTTTGAATCATCACGTCGGAGTCATCAAATCGCGCGATGAATTTTCAAAAGCATTAAAGTCAAATTCATACTCGAGTCATTCGCATATCAAGCCGAGTTGGCGAGTTAAAACTCGTTTACATTACTATTCGAGCGAGAGTTTATTGTGGCGGTTCGGTTTACATTATAAATGAGTCGAGATTTCGAGTTAAAAACAGTGTTGTAGGTATTTGGTTAGGGAAAGGGGGACTTATACTTAGGTATGAGTCGTCTATTATCAAAGGTGGCAATCTGTGCATTTGAACAAAAAAAATTTATTGATATGTCAATACAGATTGATTTGAATATAATCGTCTCCTTCAAAGAATACGATTCAAAACCTGCATTAAATAAAGGTTAATACTTAACCTGTTATTTATCTAAGATGTCGTTCAGAAGAGTTTTGTGACTGCCAATGGAATACAAAGTCAATAATTCGTTTTTCTGATTTACCAATAATTGTCCAAAAGTCACATTGCCGGCTTTGATAATAGTCGACTCGTATACTAGTTGTACCCGTCCGCTTCGCTGGGCATTTAAAATTAACATTATTATTTCTCACCCCCACAAACATTCTCGTCATTAACGCCCCCGCAACTGGTGTAGGGGAGTCCAACACTCATATAAATATTCCTATCCCTAAGTACATGTATTTTCTGCATGGATACAAGTTTCAAGTCAATCAGATGCACGGCCCAGTAGTTATAACGGAACATCCGTAAACATCACTGTAGATTTATATATTAGTATAGATTGGCTTTTAAACATAGACCTATATAGTANAATCGTAACCAGGCCACGGAAGCTAATTGGTCTACATCAGGCCCTGTGAGAGCCCGGTAGAACCTACCGTGTAACTCCTTGCTCCTCCATACAGTTATGCGATCTGAAATACTCTCTACCTTCAGCCTCTTCCAATTCCCGTTAGCTAAGGATAGCGGAGTTAGCCCCTTATCGACTGCAACGACATCCCGATACATATTCACATTCATCTTAAGGAAATATTCCCTAAGGTTGTATATCTCTCGGTTATGTAGATCCTTGGCATTCAAAATACCACGACCCCCACAGTTCCGAGGAATATACAACCTCATTACAGACGAACGTGGATGATGCATTCTGTATGCCGTTAACAATCGCCTGACTTTTCTGTCCAGTACGTCCAGCTCTGATTGCGTCCACCTTAGTATGCCAAAGGAATATGTTAACATAGGCATGACCCAACCATTAAACGCTCGGATTTTTATTATTATTATTATTATATAGTCGCGCGTTCACTGGGTTCTTTCGGCTCGCACTGATTACGCGTAGTTGACTCGTGTCGCTTTATAAATGGGTACGCGTATACCTTTTTATAAGCGTAGTTTGGGTACGCGTTCCTTGGAACGCAAAGTCCATACGAGGCTTTAGAACATTTCGTGTATTTTCGTATTTTCTCACTCGTAGAATTCAAACACACGATTCTTCGACTAGAGCGAGAGAGCGACTCAACGAATGTCGATTCAAGCCGAGCCACGAGCTAACGAATTGATTCGGTTTCGGTCAAAAGCGATTCGAATGAACGAGTCCATGTCTTTCGAGTTATTCGAACTAAATGATTCGAATTACCTATCCCTATCGTTGATTTATATTAAGATGTAGTCTCTCTAATATATTAAGTGTATAATCTATGATGTAGTCGTAGTGTAAACTTTCAACTAGTTATTGATAGTCGTTTAGCTATAGATTATTAGTTAAAATGAAGAAATAAAAATCATTAGTCTGAAAACCGTTATTGTGTGATGAGACCAGAAGTGCATTTGGGTATTAGAATACCTGATAAATAGGACTCGAAGATAACTCAGGTTTGATGCTTATTTATTGGTTTTAAAAACCCTTACTTCAAATAGTATTATTCTGTTAGTTCTTTTTTACATAATCCTATTAAAAATAAATTTCCGTATTTACAATAAATTTCGTTGTTATAAATGTCAAAGGAATGTGTATTTTTCATTGTTATCAATTTTCACGTTACGTCATTAACATTTTTGTATTAATTTTAAAAAAATATATAAATTTATACATTATGTACGTAATCTATGAGAAGAGCTAAATTAATTATTGAAGATTACCTATCTCTTGCATTAGAATGATGTACTTTGGACAAGACTAGAGTATGCCTTGTTTAGAATACCAGTGTTAGTTTTTTGATAGCAATGATGTTTTTAAAGAAAAAAATAGTTCTATTAATAATGATTCTAGTCATGTGTAATTTCAGATGTTATAAAATGATGGCCTTAGAAAAATTACAACTACTTATTTGGAAAAATGTCCTTCTACAATACAGACGCAAATGGCAGACATTATTTGAAATAGCAACTCCTATATTTTTTTGCTTTTTTCTAATACTTATGAGATATTTAGTGCCGCCCAAAGCAATACCGGCTAAAACTTACACATCCTTTGATGTCACCTATTTCAATAAGACAAGGTTTGTACTTAAACTATCTCTTCAAGTCTTCATTAATTTGATTTCCAAATTTTACGACTACCACTGCTAAAATAGTGCACATTTAAAATAAGAGATTATTAAAAAAAGGATGAACCATGTTAGTTTGTCCCAGAAATAAATAAAATGAACTGGTCTGAAAATAAGGGTGCAGTGTGTTAGATAGCAATACCTCTATACTCCATCATTTCCTTGAAAACAGTAATGTTATATTATTCACTTCACAAAATAACACTACTGGGCTGAAAAAAATGATGTAATTAGCCATAAATGCTAAAAATCCTTTAATAGATATTAAAATGGGTTAAAATAATTAAAAGAATCAATCACCCAAAAAATTATTTCATAAGCATAAATTCATCATTATTAGAAATTTAAATCTATTATAGTTAATGTTTTGATTTAAATGTTTCATGTTCTTTATTGTTGTTAAATTGCTTAGGGGAAATCTGTCATCAGCTGACATGGTATTGGCATACTCACCAATAAATCAATTGACTGAAAAAGTTGCAATCAATGCTATGGCTGAACTTGCTCGAGATTCAATTGATCCTGATCTTTTTTTTTTTATATCACTTGCAATTTCATACACTCCTAAAGGATATAAAAATGCCAAAGATATGGAAGCAGCACTAATACAGCCCAATGCTATGAATAGCATTTTGCTTGGTATACAATTTGATGATGAAATCGCTAGTAAGTAAATACTTACAATATTATAAATTTCATAGTTTCTGTATTAAAACTTTATTGCTGTAACAATCAAAATATAAATTTGATATAAAGTTGAACTCTTAATTGCAACAAAATTAAAGTGATCCAACTGTTATAACAAATGAGAAGATATTGTAGCAGAAATATACAAGAAGGACCAAAAGGGCCCACTGACACTTCATGATTCTTGTTTAGAAGGGTTATGAGCTCACAGTCCATCTCATTTCATAGACATAACAATGTGGATGCTGTCATTCACCTCAAGACATGAGGTCGAAGTCTCAATTGTATTGTACATCAGCCATCCTATCGTTTAAACCGGATTAAACAGCTTCCCCATCGCAGATATATGCCGAATTATTACTTATTTTACTATGAAAATTGCTATGTTGGGATGTTTATTGATCAATTATGCCAAAATGTGAGAAAGAACTTGGAATGAAAAGTCACATAAAGATATTTTAAAACATATCACACATACTTTTATAATGGTAAATGACATGATAACACATNATCCTATCGTTTAAACCGGATTAAACAGCTTCCCCATCGCAGATATATGCCGAATTATTACTTATTTTACTATGAAAATTGCTATGTTGGGATGTTTATTGATCAATTATGCCAAAATGTGAGAAAGAACTTGGAATGAAAAGTCACATAAAGATATTTTAAAACATATCACACATACTTTTATAATGGTAAATGACATGATAACACATGAAAAATCTAAATTAAATATACAACCATTGAGTAATCAGCGAGTTTGTGACTGATTGTGATTGTTTATAGATCACAGAGCAACACAGACAATCCCGCATGATTAAGTTTCATTATTTCTGAATTACAAAATTACAAATTTAACGGGATGGTTATCCCGGTGCCATATATTTAATAATACCTTTGTGTATAAACATATCTAATACTTACGAAAATTTCTACGTCCATAACAAATAATTACTTGGTAAAAGCAAATTCTCTATTTACCCACAGATCTAGTACCTGTTCTGCATTGTTTCGTTCGTGCTTCAAAAAAAATTACCAAACTTAATATTATATTAATAAAGAACGTAATAGTTCTATTCAAAATAAAACTCTTATTCCTTTCGCACAAAAAATATTTTTCGGATAGTTCTGACATTAAGGAATGTTAGATTGATTTTAAATAAATATTAGATATTCATAATTCAGATTTAACAGATTCATTGTAAGTTTTGAAAAATCCATTACCCGTACTTACGATAAATTACATAAACAAATTAAAGATTAGTCGTAGCGTAGTTTAGGAATTTACAAAAAAATAACACAGCCCCAGTAACTTTATAAAAACGGAACATTGATTCATTTATTAAACAAAAATACTTATTTAATTGGTTAACCCGAAATTAGTGAATGCTTAGTCGATTTACCCGATACCATTGAATCTGCTCCTCAGTTTATTTGTATGTCTACAGTTTTTCGTTTTCAATTAAAACACTTACACCCGGAATGACTTAAAACTTTATTACCCTTTGGTTACGGACTTAAGAAAAACTTTTTGATGAAGAAAATCATAACTATGAGAATAAACGTATAACGCGTAGAAAGATAATCATCATTCAGAAATAGTATTACTGATTGAGACACTACGAAGACTGCCCGGTCAGCTAGTTTTAAATATATCCTATATTATGTTTATGTAAATAATGAGTCTTTAGCCTTTTTATTGTTATTTTGCAGTTTTATAGCTTCACTTAACAATACTCAAATCATTTCGTGGCCGACGTTTTATTTGACCTTGATCTGATTGCTACTAAACTCACAAAATCAGCGCACAACAATCTAAAGATTTCCTGAAATTTTCATCGACATCAATTCAGCCGTTTTGGAGCATTTATGGAACATAAATAGATACACACAGCGACTAATAGTTATATATGAGTCGTCTATTATCAAAGTTGGCAATCTGTTCATTTGGACAAAAAAATGTTATTGATATGTCAATACAGATTGATTTGAATATAATCGTCTCCTTCAAAGAATACGGTTCAAAACCTGCATTAAATAAAGGTTAATACTTAACCTGTTATTTATCTAAGATGTCGTTCAGAAGAGTTTTGTGACTGCCAATGGAATACAAAGTCAATAATTCGTTTTTATGATTTACCAATAATTTCCAAAAGTCACATTGCCGGCTTTGATAATTGTCGACTTATATATCCTCAGCCGGATCTTCTCATTGGTAGATTCTGCGAAGCACGGCTCTTGCTAGGGTTCGTGTTAGCGACGTCGTCAGGTTTGAGTCCCGTGAGCTCACCTACATGTTAGGGCGAAGCTGAAATAGTCTCTCAAGGCTATTAGCATAGGTAGGACAAAAAATAATAGTATTTGCTGATTATCGTTTCTACAGCTCTTCCCTACACATCCGTCGTTCCGTTCCGTAGTGGTCGTTCTTCGCTTTTCAATCATCTAACTGGTACCGCTTTTTATTTAGAGATTTTCATCAAAAAAACTAAACACATATAATTACAGTTAACTGAAAAAATATTATTTTCTTATTAATTTTCTTAAATGGCTGGATTTTTAATTATTTATGTAAATTTAAAGTTTTGTGTCACACAGAGAAGTGATTTCTCCGATATAATCTGGGTTAAAATAAATTGATAAAATTCAATGTTTAATCACAATAAACGACCTCAATGATCTTGCACGTTTTTGAAATAACCTATAAAGGATGCATAAGGGTTTAGTATTTTGAGATCATATAACCAGCGCACCTATATCTAAATTACGCTACATTGATTGATAGAAACAAAAACGTCGTCGATAAAATTAATGAAATCTAAATCATATCTAAACTTACTATCTTGACATATCTACAGGGACGGCGCATGTTACTAATGCTTACTTTGATATAATAAAAATGAGACCAAAATACTTTCTATCTGTGGTATGAATTAAATACAATTATTTTAATTTACAAAACCGGCATTACAAATTTGCTTTATACGTCTTCATCATCACTTCAATTTTTAGAGTTGCAACTGTAATAAGAACCAATTTTAAATAAAATAATAAACATGACTGATGAAAATAACAAATTACCACGATTCAAATAGATATGATTTTTTTTTTGTGAAGGAACGCCTTACATCTTTGCATATTTCAGATGCTACGTCTTGGCCAGATGATATAAAAATAACTTTTAGATTTCCTGCTGTTATGAGATCGACAACGTCTGATCATCAAATGCAATTGAGCTGGCAAACAAACTTACTATTTCCATTGTTTCCGAATTCTGGTCCACGAGAACCAGATGATCAATATGGAGGAACTTCGCCAGGTACATTATATTAACGAAAACCTTATGCACTTTAATTAACAATATAGAATATTACTCCTGTGAAATAGAATTACAAAGGACAATGCCCATTTTCTTAGGGCGTTTGGGCCCCTAAAAAAGTGGTCGGGTGGTGGTTTTAACTTAATTTGATAGACAAACAAATATCGTTTCATATTCAGAAAACGATTTTTATATTCTCTTCGAGGTTTAAGAGAAATTTGTTTTTTTTCTGCACCTAAAATTAAGTTGTTCATTGTTTTCTTCGAAATCAATAATCGCTCTCATCATTATTTACAGTATTAAATAAGTTAATTGTGGTTAATGTTGCTAGAAATAAGCCTTTACGTACATTTTATTATTATTATATCCTCATAATAATAATAAAATGAAATGAAAATCCGGAAGCCGACAACGATATTGTTGTTGTTGTTTTTAAATTCGCCAATAAGCAGGCAAAGAGCGTAGCTTATACAGCCTAGTCTGTCGTAGTTGTATATATTTTTTTCAATAAAAAGCTGGTGTATCTCTTTTTATTGCTTTTTGGGAGTTTTAACGTCAACTCGATGAATAGCACATTGAGTGAGCGTGAATTTCTGCAGACATTTTATCTTGAAAAAAAAAAACAGTCACTGCTATGTTAGCCACAGTTTAATACACAAAACAACGCCCAATTTATATAATAAACATCACAATAAACTATTAAAAAAACATTAAAATAAAACTTCAAGTGACGCTTCACTCGGGTTGCTGCCAAAACTCTCTGATCATATATAATAAGAATAGAGTAATGGTAGGCCATTGAGATTTTTACTAATGGAATGAATAATATCAAAAAATATTAAATAATTCAGGGTTTTAAGTAATAATTATTATTACAATATATAAATATTGAATTGAACAAAAATAAACTAAAAAGTCTGTGAATTATAACCATTAGCTATTTTTTTTTATTTGATGTTCAAGTCACAGACAACTCTTTCGTTAGGCAGCTTAAAGGTCTACTAAAAGTCTTTATGGGCTAAGCCCTTTGCCTATTGGCGAATTTAAAAACTATGGCATTCAGTTTTGGGATGTTATCAAATAAGTAATTTATTTTTTTGTAAAACAATGCCAGGTTGAAAGAAATGTTGATACATAAACTAAACATCGTAAAAAAATAAGGCATAGTTTTTCAAGTACTAATAGTTTTGACATAAAGTTGGCCCACTTTTGGGCATTGTCCTTTAATGTACATTTAACACAAGTACCAATAATTGCGGCCGTCAGCGCAAAAGTGGCCTAAGCTTCCCATAGTTAGTATGGAGATAATGAAGTTCAAATTTACCTTTACAATACTTCGTAGGCAAAAAAATTACGCTGCTAAAATGATGTTTACAAAGTCATCTGTTATCTACGGATGAAACTAGGGATAGGCCGATTTTGCATCAAAATTTATGATATGGTTTTAAATAAATTGCAATACATAAGCACGAATATGAATTGTGGGTTAGGCCACTTTTGCGCTGACGGCCTCAATTGTCAAGTGAATACATACATAGACACAGTAAATAGATCTCCGCGTGAGGCTTCGGGGCGCTCCTGTCATTGTTGTTGTGTAAGAGCGACCGTAAATACTGATCAACAAGCGGACCAGTCAGACATACAAGTAGGATAAAATTCCAAAGGTCCCGTTCTTTAGGCGGTTATATAGAATCGCAAAAGTAATCTATACTAATATATAAATCTACAGTGGTTATTACGGATGTTCCGTTATAACTACTGAACCATGCATCCGATTGACTTGAAACTTGATATCCATGTAAAAAAGTATATGTACTTAATGGATAGGCTAATATTTATATGAGTGTTGGACTCCCTAATAGTAATGACAATAAATAATAATGTTAATTTTAAATGCCCAGTGAAGCGGGCGAGTATGGCTAGTCATATTACGAGTGTAATGATGCTACTTTAGTGCACTAGACGTTCTTACTAAAATTGTCATTAGACGCCTGTAGCACTAACACTAGGAGCAGGCATAAGGACACTGATAACCGTACTGACGTTTGTACTGTATTTTGACGTGAAACCTAACGCATACATCAGACCGATGAATTTCTCCTCGGATCGCGATGCCGATCCGGTAGTACCCAATAAACAAAATATGTTTTTTTGCTTAAAAAAAAAACATTTACAGGTTACTTCTCGGAACTATTCTTGTTCATGCAGCACGCAATTTCCAAAAGCATCGTAAAAGAGAAGACCGGGAAAAACATTGATACCAAAATATATCTACAGCGTTTACCTCAACTTGAATCTAGGGTGGATCAGCTACTGTTCATTTTACAAAGATTTGTATCCATAGCTATAATGCTGGGCTTCGTCTATACATTCGTGAATACAGTCAGGGCTGTCACAACTGAGAAAGAACTGCAGCTAAAGGTACGTACTAATATTTCACCAAAAACCCTATTTATTAAAATTTAATGTAGGGTGTGCCGCGGCAGGCAGCGGCTCGATTGTGTCACTGATAATGTCCACGAGCGACGGTGACAACTCACCATCACGTGGGCCGTCGTCTACCTACAACGGCTATAAAATAATATTGATATGTAATTTATCTAAAACTCGAACAACATACCTCATGACCCATTTGATGTCTACCGGTTTTGCCAGAGCCCATAGATATCACAACGTGTATGTCATCGACCTTGCAATACAACTTTGATGTTTTGCTCTTAAAATGGGAATATACTGCATGTTTGGTGGCTAACATTTGTAGGATCGTGGTTTGCAGTAAGATACTGTCACTGTGGGCAGGATATAGCAGTAGTTCAAAAATGCCGGATCGAATACATTAATATCCGTATTGACTGGTCATTAAGATCCCTTAGCAGAGTGAAGATGCAGGTTTCTATTAAAGTTATACCCTGTTTAGATTGTATTGAAAGGTCACATGCAAAATATTCAAATGTACTCAACAGATACTGGTGGTAGGACCTCTTGTGAGTCCGCGCGGATTAGTACCACCGCCCTGACTATTTCTGCCGTGAAGCAGTAATGCGTTTCGGTCTGAAGGGTAGGGCAGCCGTTGTAACTATACTGAGATCTTAGAACTTATATCTCAAGGTAGGTGGCACATTTACGTTGTAGATGTCTATGGGCTCCAGTAACCACTTAACACCAGGTGGGCTGTGAGCTCTTCCGCCCAACTAAGCAATAAAAAAAAAACAATATATCACATTTTCGATTTCGTGATTTCACGTGATCAGCGTCTAATTTTTGAGAAAATACCACTATATTTTCCTGTACTGTTTTTTTACAAGTAAATTAATATATTTTAGCTTTTTTACCCGCATGTATTGTTCCTTAACTCTATATATATTTATTTACATTTAATGAAATATTAACTGCGTGTTTTCTGATTCATAGATTAAAAAAAACGCAAGGAAAATGAACATTAAACCCCATCAAATATCGACTACTTTTGATGCCAATTATAAATTCGATATTATTCGCATTCTCAAAAACGTTATTGAACGTTTATTACGTCAATTTGTTTGTCAATTAAGACCATTAACTATTGCGCACGCAATGGCGTCGTCAATATATACACGAGCCGGTTGTTTGGTAGTACGTATTAATTAATTAAACTTGTTTTACGTAGCTTTCTCGAGACGTAGATGTCATACAAAAAACTATACGGTTAATTGTGATCAGCCATGACCTCGAAAACGTCTTGTAAATTGAAGCGGGAATGCAGCTACCTAAAAATATTCAATACTTAGTCTGGCCATAAATATTGTTACAATTAAAAATAAACAAAATATTACATTTGAATTTGGAATCTGTCATTTTATATGATTGCTCATTGAGATTTCTCATTTTGGCGCCAATACATTGTACAATATTTTGCGATATTAAAATGGAGTAGGGTGACAAAGAGAACCGAATCGCTGTGATTGCATTACACAAAGTAGGTATGGAGCCAAATGCAATTTTTAAAACCCTCCATACGCATGGTATTAGTAAAATGTTTGTGTACCGGGCTATTAATAGGTGCAATGAGACCTCCTCTGTTTGTGACAGAAAAAGATCTGGCCGTCCACGTAGTGTTCATACGAAAAAGGTGGTCAAAGCAGTAAGGGAAAGAATTCGAAGAAATCCTGTCCGAAAGCAAAAGATTTTATCTCGAGAGATGAAGATAGCACCTAGAACCATGTCGCGTATTTTAAAAGATGACTTGACATTTCTTAACTGATAATTTAAAAGAGAATAGGGTGGTAAAATCGAAACAACTACTGAAGCGGTACGCATAGGGAGGTCATAGAAAAAATTTGTTTACGGATTAGAAATTTTTTACAATTGAGCAACACTTTTAACAAACAAAATGACCGTATTTATGCTCAAAGCTCTAAGGAAGCTTCCCAATTAGTCGACAAAGTGCAACGTGGGCACTATCCGACTTTAGTGATGGTTTGGTGGGGTATTAGCTATGAAGGAGTGACTGAGCCATATTTTTGTGAAAAAGGTATCAAAACATCGGCACAAGTGTATCAAGATACCAATCTTGAGAAGTTTGTGAAGCCCCTTAACAACACCATGTTCAATAATCAAGAAAGGTCCTCTCGGCAAGACTCGGCGCCAGGTCATAAAGCTCGGTCTACGCAGTCTTGGTTGGAAACGAACGTTCCTGACTTCATCAGAGCTGAAGACTGGCCGTCGTCTAGTCCCGATCTTAATCCGCTGGATTATGATTTATGGTCAGTTTTAGAGAGTACGGCTTGCTCTAAACGCCATGATAATTTGGAATCCCTAAAACAATCCGTACGATTGGCAGTGAAAAATTGAGTGCGTGCTTCTATTGATAACTGGCCTCAACGTTTAAAGGACTGTATTGCAGCCAATGGAGACCACTGCGAATAAGCTTTTTATACTTTAAATTGTTCTGTATTTATGCATTAAACTAACACACTGTAAAAGTAATAAATGTTATTTGCCATAGATTTTTTTTGTTTTCCTTTGTAACAGTATTTATGGCCAGACTAAGTAAATACAAAATTAAACGTTAACGGGAACGTTAAAAGGCACGTTAAAATTATATAAGCCCGTTTTGCCACTGTCAGGTGTTCGTGAAAAAAACATCATTATCTTTTTCCAACACGAAAAGTGGTATTCCAACTATGTACTTATGTACCTAATTGACATGCTATTTGACCGTCCATAAAAATTCAACGTCATTTTCAACCTTGACATTAGTGTAAGACAAAAAAACGAACAGGAAATCTACTACATAGAGTGAACAATTCAATGGTGATAAATTTAATTTAATTTACTTCAGGTTTTGCATCCATATTACATTCATTAACATTTCATACACCAGAATTAAATAAAAACAATAACTACAATATCGGAATCAAATAAAAGCAATAATAATAATAATAATAAAATAAAAAATCAAAATTAACATCAAAACTACCTTAACCTAAAGGCAGGTTTGGATCCAGAGTGTTCAACATGCACACGTGTCCAGTGTTGCATTATTGGACAGTCCAGATCTATCCGCGAGGCGAACAGCCGCAGGTAGTTGCTTTTTTATGATTGAGAGTTTACTGGTGGCCCTGAGGCCTTTCCAGTTTCCCAAGGACAGGGGGTAATTGCTGCAACTGACCTGCACGCGGCGAATCAGGGAAGCAATTCGTTCACGAATGATTGCTGCGAAGCTATCTATTCGCGCATCCGCAAACATCCCCGACGCACCGCAGTGACGCGGCAGCCACATCAGCACCCTGACAGCGTTATTATATTGGACACGCAGGGTAGCATTTCTTGGTATACTTAACCCATAGGCTGCACGTGTAGAACGGTCTTTACTGGTGGTAGGACCTCTTGTGAGTCCGCGCGGGTAGGTACCACCACCCTACCTATTTCTGCCGTGAAGCAGTAATGCGTTTCGGTTTGAAGGGCGGGGCAGCCGTTGTAACTATACTGAGACCATAGAATTTATATCTCAAGGTGGGTGGCGCATTTACGTTGTAGGTATCTATGGGCTCCAGTAACCACTTAACACCAGGTGCATCTAAGCAATAAAAAATATATATAGAAAGACTGGCAGTATGCTATGAAAAGAGTAGCTTTCACCTCTGCAGTACACCGCGCGAACCTACGGGCCAGCATAATACCCCTGATTGACAACGCCCTGCGCTCCCTACCCATGTCTACACCGTCTGCGATTGTCTCAGTGACCCAGTGACCCAGATACTTGAATTGCGATACTTGTTTAAGGACACTGTCGCTGACTGTGACTGATGGAACAGTTTCACAGGTTTTTCTGTCGGATTTAAATACTATCAGTTCGCTTTTAACGGCATTATATCTGAGCCCATGTTCCTCCGCATCACGCTCGCATATCCTAATCAGCTTTCTGAGAGCCCTAATCAAATTCATGATTAAAATTAAAAGTTAATGTAATTAAAAATACTTTTACGGTTTAATCTCGTGTTTTTAATTGTTAGTATGATATGATTTCCGATGATTTAAATATTGTACACTTTTTGGTATTGTCATTACTGATATGAGATTTGATACCATCACGGACGAAATCATTATAAACTTACAAGATGATTCTGAATCAAGTTCAGAGCGTTCAGAATCAAGTGATTCAAAGGATGAGTATGTCAGAGTAATTTCATATAAGTATATATTAATTAAATAATTTCATATATCATTAAAATAATTCAGAATAAGTCAGAATAATTTCATATAATATGTACTTAATTTTTTTTTATTTTATTTGTCTATTAATTACAATATAATTACGTAGGTACAATATAAACTTCTAAAAGTTCAATTGTTTTTTATTTATTTATTATTATTTCATTTATTCATTTGTTTTTTTTATTTAGTCATCACTGTCTAATCCCATGTACGTTACGAGTAGTAAGCAACTCGCCCGCTCACCCCTGTCGCCACCTAAGGCGCGGCCAACTAGTTACGCGCGCACTAGTCACTGAGGATCATCAATCGACCTTGACAAGAGAACCGTAAAAGTACTATTAATAATGTTTACCACTCGTGAAAACTGAAGTAAATACTAAAATTCAATAAAAGAGATAACTACGTTTTTTTTTGTTTAATCTCAAGTTTCAAGAGCTTGTAACTATAATACCGCTGATGCATATGGCCTGTCAGGTGGATACGGACCTCCGGTGGTGAAGCAGTGCAAGGTGGCTCCTGTGCGCCGCTCACGGTGTGTCTCCTGAGACGAGGTTCTACGGGATTTTCCCGGGGATGAAATCCCGTCTTAACATTAGTACGGGTACCGCCTAAGGCGAGACTTTCGGCGCGCATCGCGGTACTGTAAGTTTCGTGTAGTCGGTGTGGTGGAGCTCGATGGGGTTTAGTCGGTAGTCGTTCTGCGGGGCAAGTGCTTCGCGCGCCTTTTTCAAGGCGTAGTCTCCTGTGAGAAATTGGGGGAGGTGAAGGGCCTCGGCCCTTCTCTTCTCCCCTTCTTCCTCTCAGGAGGCGCCGGAGTCCGACATAACCCGGTCCGTTACCCCCCTCGACCGGGTATCCGTAAATGGATTCCCCAGCGTTAAGAAAAAAAAAAAAAGAAAAAAAAAAAGGTGGATACGGACCACCTGACCGGCCTGACTCATCTGTAAAGGCAATAAAATATATATAATATAATCATATGTATATAAAAACATCTAACAAACTATCTCATTCATCAAACAAGTCTTCGTTACTTTCTTAAGGCTTATCTTTAGTTTGCTTGATCTAAAATTATTTATCTTTGCCAAGCTAGAAGAAATGTGGTACAGTAGATATGAAATAAGATATTTGATACATAAAAATAGGTCTCGCCTCTCAAATTCAAATGTCAGATATAAGACATGTATACGAGTATAAAAATGCGGTCTTTAGAGCGTTGTACTCTGTTGTACTAAAATGAAGACCAGACAGGACACTATTTCCAGTTAGTCGCTTGACAAATATTTATACTATGAGAAATGAATATGTTGTTAAAATTATAGATAAGAAGAGGGCAAGCTGAACGACCTTTACTATTGTTATAATAATAATATAAACATAATCGAAAGGCATCAAGGTGAATGTCGTCGCATGTGATGATATAAATTATTATTAATGTAGTTAATTTGTTATTGTGCAAGAAAAAATCCTCCTTAATTGAATTTTGTTTTATTACACAGGAAACAATGGCAATTATGGGTCTACCGTCTTGGCTGCACTGGTTAGCGTGGTTCATCAAACAATTTTCATTCTTACTTGTGACTATTGTCATAATGGTTATATTGTTTAAGGTGAGTTTCTACGCACTTGTTGTTTTAAAACATAATAACAATCCGAAATAATATGCAAACGCGTATGTTCGAACTGATGGGGTGGTAAATGATTGCTGTGGTCTGTATGCTTAGTGCGAGTTTTTTAACGCTCTCGATACCGTAAAAGTGAAATCAAATTTGTATGCAGTTGGAACAGCGCCCCTAGCGGCAAACGCAGGCAAACGTTCCAACTCCGTGCAAAACTGAGTCAACTTTTACGCTATCGAGAACATTAAAAAACTGGCACTAAGCACACTATACAATCTACAGCGCGAACAAACCTATACAAACAAGAGATCTAATTCTCAATAGTATTTTAATAATGATTGTCATCCAAACCGAAGCGCACAACTGCTCCGCACAATAAATATATGAGTCGTCTATTATCAAAGGTGGCAATCTGTGCATTTGGACAAAAAAATGTTATTGATATGTCAATACAGATTGATTTGAATATAATCATCTCCTTCAAAGAATACGGTTCAAAACCTGCATTAAATAAAGGTTAATAGTTAACCTGTTATTTATCTAAGATGTCGTTCCGAAGAGTTTTGTGACTGCCAATGGAATACAAAGTCAATAATTCGTTTTTCTGATTTACCAATATTGTTCAAAAGTCAGATTGTCGGCTTTGATAATAGACGACTCATATAGGCAGAACGATATTGCAAGCTCAGACTATTGCCCAAAGTTATACAGATAAACAATGTTAAAACAGATACTAGACATGAATAGTTTACATATTATCGTAAACATCGAATCTATAGGGCTGTGCTATTAAAATTTTTAATTCCATTTGTAAATCTCATTTTAGGTTCACAAAATTAATAATGAAGTATTTATTTTATAATATTTAGCACATAAACTTGTTCAACGATTACTTCTTAACATAAATGTAAATATATGTACTTGTACGGAAATAATGATGATATCGTCACATAGAAAGCTAGTTTTTAGGCAGCGGCTTAACTCTACCCCCGGCATTGCTGAAGTCCATAGGTGACGGTAAACATCATCACCAGGTGGATTGCGTGTGCTCGTCTGCAATAAAATATATATATATATATATAGAAAATCCAGTGACGAAAAGGGTTGATTACAGATTCCGTTATCTGAAACTGAAACAGGAGTGTCGTACTCCGTGTTCACCTACACGCCGTGGTCGGTCCTTTTATTCTTTTTGATTCTATTCGTCATTGCATCATTGACATTCTCTTTTATGATAAGCGTTTTCTTCACTAGAGGTAAGTTTTGGTTGTTAATATCTAACTTAATATTATTATAATAACTTTTTAGATAATTCGTGAAAAGCGTTTCGTTTTACGAAATAGTAATAGCTATTGAGATTAAAACAGCCTAACAGAAAGAATAGAACTCGTAACTGAACGTTAAGTATCAAATTAGGCAGTTTGTTATTTTTTTGCGTTTGAACAATTCAAATTTTACCTTGAACTTTATCACTTAATTTGTAAAGTAAATATGCCGCGTGTATTTATTTATTTTGAATGTTGCAACTCATTAATAATGCATTTTAGAATCAGACTCATTAAAATTTATCGTTGCACTTTAAATATCATCATGAAATAATTTAAACTCAAACGGGTTTGTCGTGCAAATAAAACAAAAAAATGCATCAATTTATGTATATTAAAACTTGAAATTAAAATCAGTCTGGCATTATCAGTCAGGATTAATTCGAAAATGAAATAAACCAAAAAACCACTTCATTACGCAAACGAATTTTATTTCTGCGAAAGCTTCTGCGAAGTTTACTCGTTCTTTTTTATTACTGTATATACATTTATGTATGTTGTACTGACCGATATTAGTAATGCGTATTCCTACCGAACGATACATTATCTCGTGTAGTTTCGGTTAATTTTTGTTGTTGCCTAGCCCCTAGATTATACTGTGGTAAAGGCTATCAGCTGTTCCTATTGAACCCATATCCCATGAACGTATGACTGTCTCGCGACAGAAATAGGCAGCAAGGCGTAAGCTCGATATGTCAATATTTCAAAATTCATGAAAAAAAAATTGAGAATGTCGACATTCCAATTGTTAAAAATGGCATGATTGTGGCTAAAAGACAGCGTAGCAGATTACCGTTACGATGGACCGACCAAATAGAGTCAGCAAAATTATCATTTGCGTAATTACTGGTGGTAGGACCACTTGTGAGTCCGCGCGGGTAGATTCCACCGCCCTGCCTATTTCTGCCGTGAAGCAGTAATGCGTTTCGGTTTGAAGGGTGGGACAGCCGTTGTAACTATACTGAGACCTTAGATCATATCTCACGGTGGGTGGCGCATTTACGTTGTAGATGTCTATGGGCTCCAGTAACCACTGAACAGCATGTGGGCTGTGAGATCGTCCACCAATCTGAGCCATAAAAAAAACATGAATGTCGTCACCCACTTTGAGACACTAGTTCAAAGTCTAAATTGTATTGTACAACTAACGACTGTGGCATCCTTCAAACCGGAACACGTAACTCCTTAACGGTAAAAATAGTTACGTTATTAGTATCTGGACGTGTGAATTTATAATATAAACATCAAATTAACAAAAATTAAAACATGTACCAAACTCATTGTAGCAAACACCGCCGCGTCTTTTATGGCTCTCATATGGTTCGCAACGTTCGCAGTCTTTATGTTCACCCAAATGATTAACGAGACCATGTCTGCCCCAGTTAAAATAACACTATGTTTGTTATCAAACACTGCCATTGGATACGCATTCCAGATGATTATCATTGCCGAAGGAACGATGCAAGGTTTGTGATTCACATTTCCAAATATAAATAAATATATGTTTCATCATTTAGCAGCCTTAAAATCTCCTGTATTATTTGCGACAAAAACACAGATCGTCTTCTCACATTAAAACTGTATAATCTCAAAATTGACTAATTTTACAGGAGTGTTTTAAAGGTTTAACATGTCATATTTTTAATATTAATCATATTTGTAAAATTTATTTTTAATTTTTTACCACTTACACTATCTGTCTTTTAAAGTAAGATAAAACTATGTAATAATTTTGTTAATAGTAGTCAAAATATAGGTAAACTAAAAAAAAACTAAACTATGCTCTTTTGACAGTATTTATGAGAAAAATACTGGTGATACCAAATGTTTTCGCATATTAACTCAATTAGGATTTTTTTTGGAATTTGTANAAAATTTATTTTTAATTTTTTACCACTTACACTATCTGTCTTTTAAAGTAAGATAAAACTATGTAATAATTTTGTTAATAGTAGTCAAAATATAGGTAAACTAAAAAAAAACTAAACTATGCTCTTTTGACAGTATTTATGAGAAAAATACTGGTGATACCAAATGTTTTCGCATATTAACTCAATTAGGATTTTTTTTGGAATTTGTACACTTTTAATGCGAAAAGACGAAATACGTTTAAAGAATGTTAAAGACATTGTCATAGAAAAGCATACTCTATTCAGATACGTCTTAAGATATATTGCAAAGACGTCGAGAAATACACAAACGTGCAGACGATAACGTTTTTTATGATTTTAGGTTTACAATGGGCCAATTTCTTTGAGCCGATCTCGTACAGTGAAAACTTTCAACCGGCCCATGTAGCCTTTATGCTAATATTGGACTCCGTGATGTACATGGCGATTGCCGTGTATGTGGAAAACATACGACCCGGAATGTACGGAGTACCGTTGCCTTGGTACTATCCTTTCACTGTTAGTTATTGGTGGCCGAACAGAATATCTGGTAAGTTTTCATCCGTCGTGATAAAGTCGAAACTTGCATGATCAAAAGCAGAAATTCCAATTTGAATTAAAATTCGTACTAGACTATAAACTAGATAAGATAGGTAATTAAATAACTAGGATATAATTCGCGAAAGACAACATTAATATATTTTTCCAAATTTATATAGTAATATATTATTTTAGCAGCATACAATCTAAATTCAAATGTTTAATTCTCTTATTAAGGTCTTTGTGAAACCCTTTATTGCTTTAATGGGTGGACGAGCTCACAAACCACCTGGTGCTACGTGGTTACCGAAGCCAATAGACATCAACAATGGAAATACCGCCCACCTTGGGACGTGAGTTCTAAGTCTCAGTTTTTTAGAAGCGCATTAGTGTTACACGGCAGAAATAGACAGAGCGGTGGTACCTACGCTCACAGGACCCCACTCAACTCATGATTCGATTTACAAATATTTGGATGAAAATAAAATATACCGATATCAGGGGTAGTAGTGTACCTCTAAATTAGTAGAATCACTAAACATGATATCACAACAATAATTTCATAATGACAGTGATGTAAGTCGCTTCAAGGTCGCTTCAAATATAGGCTGTTTTGTAACACATTTAGGAAGTGTTGAAGTGTTATGTAATCGTAATGTGATTATAAACTTGAACTTCCGACGAGTAGCACATAAATTATAATAAACATCGAGCAAATAAAGTTGAAGGTTACATATCATACATACATACGTTTTAAAGTAAAAAAATACTTTGTTTTTAAATCATCCTTAGTGCAAACCAAATATATTCACAATAATCCACTTTTACTGTTTAATACTGCGTTTATTTTTAATAGAAAATTTGTCGGTAGTTTGCTCAGTATTCAAATTTCTAGGAATATCACGTTAGTACGTCTATGACCACGTAAACTGTAAAGTATTCATAACTGTATATTTATCTTTAAAAGTAGTTTTAATTCTGCCTAAGACTCGCAAAAATCTAAGAACATACAAACGTATTTAGATACAGAAGTTTTGTTACATAATGTCTAATAAACATAATGTCTAGACAAGTTGGCATATTTTATCTAGCTCGCTTATACATATTTTGGCTGTGCACACGGCTAATTTAATATATTTTTTAAATTTAGAAATATCATGGTCATATAACGACCAAAAATTATAATTATGTATGTAGACACATACATATATGTATGAACCTCCGAATACCTAGTCTTCATTTTTTTGCAAACTCAACTTGACGTATAAAACCGAAGAGATTGACGTCAACAATATTGTAAAAAAGAGACACCTTACTTGTACATCCGGGTCCTACAAGACGTATAATTAACATGTCCATGGTTAATATTGTTTATCATTTTGCCTCAAGTACATTATTAAAATTCCATTGATGTCTAGGTACCTACATAAATCACAACCAATAAAAAACTCATAGAGTTATGTTGAACAAAATCAACGTTATTTGAACGCGTCCGCACAAGCACAAAGTGGGGTCCATACGCTCCGATCAGTTCCGATACGATAACCATTTGTACCAGGTGGATCAATTACACTAGAGCAAAATAATTATTTGCTGTGTTTATTAGACAGCTCTAGACTATTAGTCTAGTCGACAAGTTAAAAATGGTGTTAATTCGACATACTACTGCTAAAATTATGTGGTTTAGCTCATTCGATTCGGAATAATGTCTAGACCATTGTGCTAAAAAATTGAATTAGCACATAAAAAATTCCAAAAGTTATTAACAATTAAACACCTTCAAAAAATAGCGTTTCGTTTATTGCTTATTGTCCGTAAACTATAAATATTTTCGAAATTTGAAAAAAAGATCCTTAAAGAGGAGGAAATTTAGTAAAAAAAAGTTTCAACTCCCGGAATTGTAGCTCCATTATTTATAATTTTAATTTAACGCTGAAAATAGCCCGCCGCGCGCCATTGTTACGGCCTGGCCACGGGGATCGGCGGTGCGAACAGCGCAGCGGTGGGCGAGGCGACCATTCGCGCAGCACCGTTTGCAGGCCACGGGTACTCACGTTCGCCGCCGCGACTAGTAAGGAAGTCCGACAGCGAAATGTCTATATCGAAATTATCTCGATATTGCTTACAAATTAATAGTTTTTTGGTTCAGGACCTATTATTTGGAAAAGATTGTGAAGTACATGATTTGAATAAGAATCGGAGTATACCTATAGATGGAGAATTCCACAAGAAGTACGAGAAATACTTTGGGTGGCTAGACTTCCAAATAGCTGGTCTAGCTAGTATTTCAGCTATTTTTTTATTTATTGCTTAGATGGGTGGACGAGCTCACAGCCCACCTTGTGTTAAGTGGTTACTGGAGCCCATAGACATCCACAACGTAAATGCGCCACCCACCTTGAGATATAAGTTCTAAGGTCTCAAGTATAGTTATAATGGCTGCCTCACCCTTCAAACCGAAACGCATTACTACTTCACGGCAGAAATAGGCAGGGTGGTAGTACCCACCCGTGTAGACTCACAAGAGGTCCTACCACCAGTAATTACGCAAATTATAATTTTGAAGATTTCATTTTTATCACACGATGTTATTCCTTCACCTTGGAAATCAATCGTGAACGTTGAGTGTTGTTGAGTACGTATTTCATTACAAAAATTGGTACCCGCCTGATATTCGAACACCGGTGCATCGCTCAACACGATTGCACCGGACGTCCGTTAGGCCACGACGACTTTAAAAATATAAAATAAAAAATAAATAAAAAATATAAAAATTTCGGCGTTAATTTTTCGCGGCGAAAACAACTAAACTCATTTAATCACTGCACTATTCGCCGCGACTACCGCTCGACTCCGTGGCTCGCGCCGTCCGTATTCATGCATTTGTTTTGCTCGCCCGCCGCATCGCGCGATTCGCTCGGTACATTTCGCCGGTCGCTTCGCCGGTCGCCGGTGCGCGTGGCTTGTTAGGTACATTTCTATGCGCTTGTTTTAGTCGCTAGACGCTTCGCCGTTCGCACCGCGCGAATATTCG